GCCCATGGGCCACAAGTGGCCCACGAGGGTCGTTTAACTGGCTCACGAGCCACCCCCGAACTGAGCCACCCACTCGGCAAGTCCCCACACGCTGTGCTAAACCAGCATGGCGCAGCGACTCGCTTCCGCGGTGCCGGAAATCGCATCTGTGCATGCACAGACACCTGTGCATGTGTGTGCATGCGTTCGTGTGATCCAGCCTATGGAGGGATCTCTGCTGGAGTGAACTGGCCCAGGCAAGGTAAACCTTGCCCACCCATGCACTATCCCTTGAATGCTTTGCTCTCTTGGCCATGAGGGAGGACCCCATCACCAGGTAGTCAGAGGAAGGGGGGGCATTGATGAGGAGAGGTGGATGCTATCAAAGGCCATTGAGAGATCCAGTAGAACTAGGAAACAGCTTTCAGCTTTGTCCCTAGCCTGCTGGAGATCATCGACCAGCGTGACCATCTGGACCGTCTAGAGGTAAAAGCTGGGGCCCCTGTTATACAGTGGTTGCTCCTGTGCCGTGTCCAGAAAGAGGTGCTGGGGGATGTGTGTTCAGACCCCATGGCTCTCACTTGTAGGGTGCCTCAGGGTTCCGTCCTCTCCCCCATGCTTTTTAACATCTATATGAAGCTGCTGGGAGAGATCATCAGGGTTTGGGCTGGGTATGCGGATGATACCCAGCTTTACCTCTCCTTTAAATTGGAACCAGTGAAGGTGGTGAAGATCCTGTGTGAGTGTCTGGATGCAGTTGGAGGATGGATGGCGGCTAACGGATTGAGGTTGAATCCTGACAAGACAGAAGTACTGTTTTGGGGGGACAGGGGGTGGGCAGGTGTGGGGGACTCCCTCGTCCTGAATGGGGCAATTGTGCCCCTGAAGGACCAGGTGCACAGCCTGGGAGTCATTTTGAACTCACAGCTGTCCATGGAGTTGCAGGTCAATTCTGTGTCCAGGGCAGCTGTCTGCCAACTCCCATCTGGTACGTAGGCTGAGACCCTACCTGCCCACAGACTGTCTCGCCAAAGTGGTGCATGCTCTGGTTATCTACCACTTGGACTACTGCAATATGCTACCTTTGAAGGTGACTCAGAAACTACAACTAATCCGGAATGCGGCAGCTAAACTGGTGACTGGGAGTGGCCACCGAGACCATATGACAACAGTCCTGAAATACCTACATTGACTCCCAGTGCGTTTTCAAGCACAATTCAAAGTGTTGGTGCTGACCTTTACCAGCCCTAAACGGCCTCGGCCCAGTATACCTGAAGGAGCGTCTCCACCTGCACCATTCAGCCCAGACACTGAGGGCCAGTTCTGAGGGCTTTCTGGTGGTTCCCTCACTGTGAGAAATGAGGTCACAGGGAAGCAGGCAGAGGGCCTTCTCAGTGTGGAACACCCTGTGGAACACCCTCCCATCAGATGTCAAGGAAATAAACAACTATTTGACTTTTAGAAGACATCTGTATCGGGAAATTTTTAGTGTCTAATGTTTTACAATTTTTATGTGCTGTAAGCTGCCCAGAGTGGCTGGGGAAACCCAGCCAGATGGACGGGGTAGAAATAATAAAAAGATGAGGGTGAGGATGAGACTTTTCACTGAAATACTGATGATTTTTCATTAGGATTTTTTAAAATAAAAAATGGCAGGTTGTGGAAATTTGGAGAAGTGAGTTTAAGACTGGAAAAATGAGAACAGAAATTGATAGATTTGTAGAGGACAGGTGTACATTCGTGTACCTTTGTAACGAGATGTTTGTTTAGTGTTTCTGTTTTGGTTTTAACATATTTTAAAAGTAAAATCGTAACTCTGGGCAGTTTTGGCAACTGTCACCACAGGAATTAGAACATTGGGAAAGTGTCAGTTGGGGCAGTTAGTTGAGAAAAAAAGGAGGAGATGGGCTAGTAAGGAAGAAGAGTGTCTTTGCAAAATTCGCCTGATGAGGGGAGACTGTAATCACGTTCTGTGGTGGATAGAGGTGAAAGGAAACAGTCATGTGGGAGCAGAATGGTGCAAGGGGATTCAGCAGCCCACAGCGCCAAGGAGCAGCTTGAGATTGTCTACTCGCAGAGACACCCAGTGGCACCATAAGAGACTCAACAGTGGTTAAGGACTGTAGTGTTTGTTCATTTTGCCAGAAAGGATACCGCCTTGTATTCTGTGCTGGAAAAAAGGCATTCCTTTCCTCATTTGTAATAAATGTTTTAACAAATGTGGATTTCCCAGGTTTCCCAACTCACTTCCCAGAGTGTGTACCTGGGGGGAAAGGCTTTCCGTCACTGGTGGGAGCTTAAAGGCAAACTGCTGTTGCAGGCAGATCCCAAAACAGCAACAAGAGCCCTCAGTATTGCCTCCGGATATGAAGAACTCTTTGTGGAGCCGTATGTTTTAATTTAGGGGCTGAACCAAACATTTTGATTCCCTTGGCAACAGTAAGCCGCAATTCAGTAGAACAAAACCAACATAAACGACATTTAGAACAGTTTGTGGGTCATAATTTAACTGTGCAATATTTCAGCCCTTCTGATTTATTTGAAATTACAGGCAGATGTAATAATTAAAGATTGATACTGCCAAAGATATGATCTAATCTTACCTGACACAGGAAAGGAAAATCCCACCCAGCTTTTAATCACTGATTAGTTTAATTATGTGCACTCCACTGATAATCCACAAACCTTTTTGATGTTTGCAATCTTTTTTGCAATATTAATTGCAAATATCAAATGGAGGCTTCAAATACAAATACAGTGATGGTGGGTGCTTCCAGACATGGGCAGTTTAGCAGCAGCCAATCATTGATGTTCTACTTTAAACTGGAAATGGAAGGCAACACTGCTTCCAGAAGTCTAACATGCAATAAGAAAGTTGCCATTCCCTGTTTCTCCATCCACATGTTGTAAAGAAGCAATTTTCATTGGGATTGTTGGAATAAAAGGTTTCCTTCCTCACTGCCAAATCAAGATTACCACTCCCTTCTGCAATTTAGGGCGGGAGCCGGAGGAGGAAATGGATATAAAGGTAACGTTACTTGAAAAGGGTAGGGTTAAAGTAATAGAAGTGATTCCTAGAGAGAAGAGAACAGCCAACAGAGAAGGAAATGGCTGAATGGTCTCTCCAAATGACTGTGATAGGCCATTGACAACCGAGGAAATTGTGCAGCAATTATAAAAGTTCAGTTCTGCTGATGTGGCTCACTATCCACATATAAACATTTTTCAGTTTTCAGACTTTTTCTTTTGCATTTTCTTTTATATTGCTAAGGATAGAAAAGGCGTAAGTAGGGCATTCATTTTAAAATGTGTGTTTTTCTGACAAGGCTTTGGAATGTGGTGTTTTTTTTTACCAGCCTGTTTTCACTGATACGTTATTGATGTTTTTCCTGCTATTATTGAAGTAATGTGTGTTTATATTGTACACCACCTTGTTACATATATTTTCAATGAAAGTGCACTTTATAAATATATAAACAAAACAATTAAAATAAATAGATAAAGAATGTCAGTCCATGAGTGGTTTGTGGGTGATGGCCTCACGGTAAATATGGGGTAGGTTTATTGAGAGGACAGAAAGAATGGAACTATATCAATCATGATGATGTAAATCATGATAACAATCAAGGCCTCCCATTCCATTAAATAATTGATATCTCTAATGAGAGCACTCTGGTTTTGACCTTACTTCTTCTTGCCGACACTGACAGATTTGCTGAAGATACTTTGCACAATACACAGAAGGCAATTTAAGAGTAGCATTTCAAAGTCGATACAAGTTAAGCATTAAAAGCCTGTTGTTACAGGTCTGTAGGAATTAGAATTCAATTAGTGTATGGGAATGAGGCCACTGGGAATTAGGAATAAATTATTTCTAAATCCTTGCACCCCAGCCTCTAGATTTATATTAGAAGTCTAGAAGAATATTTATTCATGCTGCCACCTCTCCCCTGAGTAGCAGGGCCTTGAGTAGCTATAAGTAGAAATAAGAAATGGGTACAGCTTTTCTGTATATCCTGGTCTCCGAAATGAAGTATATCTCTTTTTGACTTTATATTTGAATCATACTTCATGACTAAAGTGTACAAAAGTAACAATGCTTCTGCCCTGAGAAACACATCTTTGAATTCTGATACACTGATGGTTAGTATAAATATTTATGCTGTGTCTTTCAATAAAATGATCCCTGAGGCAGCTCTTGGAATATTGTAAGAATGCAATACAAACTATTTACTCACCTTTTGGTGGTGGGGACAGACAAGAGAGATGCTGTGGGGTCGGCATGAATTAAAAACACCTCCCCAGCTTCCTGGTGTTCCTGTTGCTGTCCTTACTGAGATCTGCAGCAAACCACTCCAGGAAGTGTGCTTCCAGGTGGCAATTACTATAATGATAACTAGAGCCCACATCACATGTTACACTCTTGATGGGGTTCCATCTGATGATTGGGAAGTAGACCCCTGAAGTTTGCCTTGCTCCCGTGTTGCACAGATGGGCTAGTCCCACCCTGTGCATTGAGCACAGCTATCTGAAAACAAGCCCTCAGTGTCATGTGTAGTTGTTCTTTTTCAGATATCTGTACTCATTGTGTACTCATGCGGTAGTCGGCATGGGGTAGCATGGCCAGGGCAGTTATTCCCTGGTCATTGCATGGACCCCACTCACACATGTCATGCCTAAAGAAAGCTTTAGGAGGTGGGGCTCCTCATGCAGGTAGAATGTGGCTCCCACCTCATTGCTTTGTGATGGTTGACTTAGAGAGATCCTGGGAGAACATGGAGTTGACGCCTCTTCCTAGGTCTCCAGAAATAACCTCCATCCTCAGGAAGTGTGTTTGCAGGTACCACTGGAGTCCCACTGCTGAAATACAAGAAGAAGGTTCACATTATGTAAGAGACTGGTGCTGCAATGCTGCATTCCAACAAAAGCATTGTAAGGATGGATTTGCTGTACATGGTACAGTACATGGCATGTAGGAAGCAAGAGGTGGATTAATCCCTCCTTTTCTTTTTTAAATGCAGATTCGGTTGGTACACTTGTCCTTCCAGCTGTAAGTATTATTTTCCCCAAGTACTAGAGTTCCATGTGAAATATTTCCTGAATGGATACTGCCTCTTTCATTTACTTACCTTTATTTCATTTTAATCTTGTATATAGTGTAAATTCACTATTAGTGAGCAAAGAGCTTCCTTCTGACAAGTGAATCATATACACTGAAATGCAGGCGTTTCATATCTTGTTTTAGGACACAACATCTGACAGTGATGTTAAAACAGACATTCAAACTAGTGTTCCTGGCATGTCTAGATGTAATTGAAACAAACCAGAATGCGGGATTAGCATTCCTTCTAGGTTTTGTTTGCTAACAAAGAGGGTGTAAAAGTATTAAAATTCATAAATATTAGATAAGAGTTTAAAACAGATTTATATCAACATGCATTTTTAGGTGCAAACCACATTGTCATGAAGCACTTGCCTCAAAATAATTAAGAGCCAATGAACAGGAGCAGATGAATCATGATTCTTCTTCTGCACAATCCCTTTTCTTGTAAATTGTAAGCATGGCTGCTGCTTCTTCCTTAGAAGCATGTCTGTGCTTGCTTGTGCCATGTATCTCCGAAACGTGCTTGCAGACTAACTCAGAGAATAAGACTTTCCAGAACACAAGTCATGGTTGGGAATTTAGATCAAATGTCCTAGGGGAACCATTTTCTTCTGCAGCCTGATTCTGTTCTGCCAGAGGACAGATTGTTGTCTGCCTGGTAGTGCAGGCTCAGAAACCAGGATAATGATCCAGGATCTCATATTGACAGCAGTGTTAGATGCTGAGATCTGAAAACTGGGATCTAAATGGCACCTTAAACCTAGGTTATGGGCACAACAACTGAATGTCTAGGCACACTTTTTTAATAACTAGAATACAAAGCTGAAAATGAATGGACTGCAGCTAAAATATTATATTCATTTTTCACATGGTCTAGTCCTTCCCTTGCACCCCCCCCCCAATATTCTTAAGAGGGTCTCTTCTCCAGTCTTCAGAGAGGAGCTGGAAGTAGGGAGGCAGAAAAAGGTCGTCCTTTCCTTCCACTCTGCAGTTTTAATCTGAAATCTTTGGTGCAGTACTGCGCCCAGAGCTCAGAAACTGCGCACGCTAATGAAATTCCCTGTTGCAAAAGGCTCCAAGAACAATGGGAGTTTCGAACACTGATTGACAGTAAAAATGGTCCCATTTAGCCAGCACAATACATTTCACTGCTTGAAGCAAAGAACAAGATGGCACCTTCCTATTCCACATAGAGAAGCCAGCCGAATCTATGGCAGCTGAATCTTCTTTCAGCACTGGTGAGGGGATAGTTGCTACAGTAGGCTAACTTAAGGGGTACAGGATGCATAGCTCTGTCCTCCCACACGTCACAGCCTCCAACATCTGCTGCCTGAGTCAGCTGCCACAATCTGCTTAATGGTAGAGTTGGTCTTGTTAAGCTGTAATGGGGAACTTTGGCTTAATGCAAGTCACAATCTTTACACTGAAGCTGGCATGCAACAAGCAAACAAGGGGATGAGGCAGGAGTGAACTTCCACAGTATTCATTCATAGCTTCATAAACCATGGTTTTTGGAGCTGTGGGTGAATATATAAACGGGATGATAGTATGAAAGAATAAATGCAAATTCAGGTGACAGAACACTTTTAGGGAGTGTCATTGTAACTTATTTGTAGATTTTATGTCATAATCTTACTCGTATTTACTTGGATATCTTTAGTAGGGTTTTCTCTTAGGTAAGTGTACATAGGATTGCAGCTTCAATTTTTTTAGTTTTGTGAGTTCTAATTATTCGTTGTTTTACTGTTCTGTGTGTCCAGTATTTGTTTTAGAAATAAATAAAGCAATCATGTTTTTTACCCCCAGCTCCCCTTGGGCAGTACTCCTGGTGATTATGATTTACTAGTCAAAGGATATTCAGAAGGTCGTCTGCTATTTTCTAACCACACTGTCCTTGAATTTGAGCACAAGAGCTTATCGGTATTCATCCAAACTGACAAGACTATGTATAAACCAGGCCAAGATGTGAAAATACGGGTTGTTACTCTGTATCCTGACCTCAAGCCGTACAATACTCCTATGAATATATATATTCATGTAAGTATAAACTTGACATTATTTGGTGAAGCAGGGTTTTCTTTCAGAGTATGGTTATGCAATTTGCAGTGTATTTTCACTAAGACTATTCTTATACATAATGGCAAGGGATTTAATTTTGAATAAATCAGTGGTTCCCAAACTTCTCCCCCATGGGTCACCTGGAAATTGCTAACAGTCTTGGCAAACAAGTTAATGATTTTTCTGCCTGTAGTAGCAATTGTAATGTGCTGTGCTAGAAGCTGTATGATTTCTAATTTTTATTGGGTGGAATTCAACACTGCGCTATCGGGGCAAGTACTTTAGCTTGTCAGAATTAACGATGGTATTTCCCCTCTCCTTCCCCACTGTTCTGTTCTGAGTGTTACTAAACACATGCTTTTGACATTTTTTAAAAAATAGGATCCTCGACACAATTTGATTCAACAGTGGTTGTCGCAGAATGGAAAACTAGGCAAAATTGCCAAGCAGTTTAAAATATCCAAATATCCTGTCCTGGGTGACTGGTCCATAAAAGTTCAAGTAAAAGTGAGTATTAACATAATGAATTGTTTTAACAGGGATGTAATGTATCTCTGAGTGAAATCAATAATTAAATTCCCATTGATTTTCATGGGGCTAGGTTGCATACTGGAGTTAGTTCATCGTTGCTAGAGATTAAATCTGTCTACAGTTGTGCAGTTTAATTGAAATGTATACTGTCTAAATTGGATGAGCTCAGCAACTGAGAAAGATCTGAGTCTTCAGATACTGATTACTGTGCAAAAAGGCGAAGGCAACTGTGGCGAAGGCATTCTATGGTGCTTCATTACTTCAGCATTCAGTTCAAAAGATATATAGAAATCATGTGATACAGCTTTTAATAACTCATTACCAAAACATTTGTACAGTATATTTTCTTAAAAGCTGAAATTCTAAAAAAGAAGTTCAAAGACAGTTTTTAGTAGTTCTTGAGTTGGTTTAGATACTTGAGCAACATAAAAGGCGAAAGTGCAATCACATGCAGTCTCAGAGAGCAAATTGGGACACCATTAATTGTGACTGGGAACGAGCCAAGAAGCAAATGAGAATGAAGCATTCAATATTAACTGCTTTGGAGGGCTATGCAGATTGAGGAAGTGGAAATCAGAAGAAAAGGGAAGCACAGAAATGTTGTACATTAGAAGTTGGCCTTGAAAGAATTTGTGTAGACTTTGGGACAAATTGACAAGCACAGGGATGTTCTGTTATCCGCTGTAAACAGTGTTATGATTCAGGTCCTACTTGCAGGCATCTGGTTGTCCTCTTTGAGAACAGGATTCTGGACTAGATGGACCATTGGGCCCTCTTATGAGGGCTCTCTTATGAGAGTTGTTGTATGAGGAAGTTGTAACTTTTGAGTTGTGTAAGAGAGTTCAGTTTGTGAGAGAGCAAGTTTTCACTTTGAGATGGTGTGTTGGCTAGTTGCTGCCTTTTCACCTGAGCTCTTGGTCCCAAAGAACAATGAGTCTACTTAAAGATTTCTTTATTATTTAATTATTCATTTTCTGACTTGGCCTTGGTGGTGGTGGTGTAAGTTGGAAGGAGAAATGAAGTTGTTTGAGAGCATCTTGACTCTCTGCTGTGATCCCCACTCACCCCTCAGGACGCAGCAGGGTAGAAAAATGTGTTGATTTGATATTATTATTTGCAACTCTTGAGTTCGTGCTTGCTAGAAGAATGAATTTAAAACTGTCCTGCCTGGCTCCCTGTTACTGTTCAGCCTTGTTAGTTTCTATGGAAACAACTCAGCTTTTCCACAGACACTCTCAGGGAAGCCGAGCTGAGAAACTATATAGAACAGCCCTTTTGATCACTGCCCTACTTCCTGATGTGTTTGTGGAAATGTGTGATTATGCAGTGTGCATTATTGTGTGTGATGCTCTTTAAACAATGATTAAATAGCTGTGCAAGTATAGGAAACTACTGTGGAGATTGGGGTGGTGTGTAACAGTATTTAAGGTGCCACAGTACACTTAAGTATTGTAAAGTCGTCTTTGGGAAAACGGCAGTTCAGCATGTACCTTATTTATTCATTAGCTTGCTTGCTAGAATTAGTTTGGGAAAAGTCCTATCTTAGATATAATACACCATACAAGTTAAGCATACCTTTCATAGAATTTATTTTGTTTTTCTATAGGATCAGACACATTATCAGACATTTACGGTGATGGAATATGGTAAGTGATTTCTGCTTGCATGTAAACTTGGATGCAGATTTTCTTTTTCTTTTTTGGAAGACAGAAGGGGTTCAAAAAGTTAAAGGTCCTCCTGCAACAGTAGAATCATGAACGTTACATAAAAAAAGTCATAATAATGAAAAGCCTTCAAATCACCGAAGACCAGGAGACTCGGATTATGAGAGCCTTTTAGCTCCTATATTTGCCCACACAGAACAGAGTATTCAACTTCATTTGTTATTCTAAAGATGCTTTATATTGTTTAGATGTCATGGGGATGTATTTTACATGTTTGCCCCATTCACATATGTAGCTGAGGATGTGTGTGTCTAACAGTAAAAGCAGTGTGCAGGAAAGAAGTGCTGAACACTTTCCTATCTTAAGTACACCTTAAGATCCTGCAGTCTTTTGCTCCAAGCAGTTTCTCCCTTACGCCTCTATTACTAGAAGTGAGCTGAGAATAAAGAGCATGGAGCAATGGATTGAGATGAAGTAATATGCAGGAGAGGAAGAGGTTCAGTCCACTTGTTTTAAAGACCTCTCCCATCTGCTTCTATCCGATGACTCATGTGTGAACCAATAACTTCAGCTGATTTAAGACCAGACTTTTTTGTGGGGGTGGGCATATTTTGTGGCTCAGTATTTCCCATGTTTCTTAGATTTCCCAGCCCTGGTTTAGAGGATTGTACATTCAGCACCCTCAGCAAATTAAAAGCCCTAGATGAGATACATAAATACATTGTTTGCATTATACTGAGAAAACCACATTAATGAAACATGTATTGAAAAACATAGCTATGGCCATCAAATTAATTACAGTTTCTTCTTTTTTAGTGCTACCAAAGTTTGAAGTCTTTCTAGCAACACCTCTGTTTTATTCTCAGAAAGACATGAATTTCACTGGTACTGTCACAGCAAAGTAGGTAAAAAGTGAATCTTACATCATTTGAGATCTATATGCATTGTACACCTGTGTTAGTCCTTAGCTAGTTCCTAACCATGCAAAGGTGGGATTTAATTCAATTATTGATTCCTTCTTTGCAGACGTAACAGTTGATCATTATTTTTTAAAAGTATATTTTTCTGAGTACAATTTTAAAATACAAAACTAATAATAATAATTTTAAAATGAGAAATTACTGTGGCTATAAAGAGAAAACTGGTAATTTAAGCCCTTCTCCCAGAACAGGACAATTAAAGAATGTCATTGACCCCACAAGTGAACTTGAAGAAAGTTGTTAGGGCAGAAGCTGTAAGAAAGAAGGTGTTAACTGCAGGAACACTTGTGTGGCACCATTATGACTGGTGAATTTCATATGAGTTAAAATTCCAATAAATTTCCAGATAACCTGAGGTGTTTCTTATGTCCACTCTGTCTCTGTATGTATAGTAGGGATACTTGTAGTTATTGTTGTTAATAAAGTAAAAGATACATTTTATTAGTGATGGGCAATAATTTCACTGATTCGGTGTAATTTGCAGTATGCCCAGATCCAGAAAGGGTATGATCCCCAGATTTAAAGTTACGTGCATGGTATGTAGGATCAGATTCAAGTGGATACTTGTAGGCTTATGAGATTGAATCAACCTGTCTTCAGAAACTTGTTTTGAAATGATGGTTTTTTTGTTAACTGTTTCAGGTACACATATGGAAAACCTGTGCAAGGAAAAGTAACTGTTGATTGTTCCCAGTTCTATGGAAGGAAGAAAAATATCACTAAGACATTTGAGGTGAGCTGCAGTTAGCACCTGACATGTGTTTATGTTGGGCAGGGGGGGGGGGAATAACACTTCTTCAGCCACCTCAAGGATTTCTTTGTGGAAATAATAAATCTTTTAAATTGCAATCTAGTGCCTTAGCTTTTTTTTACCCAGCCGCCTACCTATGCTACCCTGTAGCTTATGCTTATCACTCTGTCATCCAAATGATTAAGCAGTTCTCTAATGATCTGTGCGGTGGCCATTACGTAGTAGTCCCCCACTGAAGAAAGCAGTGTGTAATGTAGAGATGTCCCAGTTCCAGCTCCCCTAGAGTTTTCAGCTAAAGACAAAGTTAGAGTAATGTGCAGGTAATCTGTAAGCAGTAATAGCAGATCTCCTGAGCCAGAAACATTCATGGGGTCAGGGCATGACACATGACCTACTCTTGCTTGTTGGAGTAAGAAGGCAGTAGCGACTGGTATGGTTGATCTGCCTGCAGTTCCCTCCTTTGGCAGGTGGTTGGTGCTGCTTAGGCTCACTATCAGCCCAACTTCTGATGTTTCCAAGATCCACTGCAGGTTCATGTTTTGCCAATATTTCGTTTTATTTATCATTTCCATTTCCAAATTGTGCTCTGCTAATGCTACCTTAACCCTTAAGGGAAATGCAGTGATACAAATATGGTCTGGTTCTCTCTCCCCCATGCCTGCTTATTCCTTTCTGAAGATAAAACAAATTGATTAGTTTTTCTTCTTCTTCTTGTTTTCAGATTAATGGATCTGTGAACTTTACATTTGACATTCTAGAGGTGGAAAATATAACTTACAACAATTGGGGTTATTCTGCGCATCACCAGATGCCGGTGGAAATTACAGCTGTGGTTACAGAAGCACTTACAGGTATGCAGTTTTATATGGGGTTTTCTTTAAGGCAGGTATGGGGTACCTTTGGCCTTTGAGGCTCACAATCAAGCCCTCATCACTCCCTAGGGCATGCCCCCTTCCCCTTTTTTGCCTTGTAGGAGGATACTTTCCCCTGCATATCCAGCTTCCTGCAAATCCTTGCTACATGCTGAGAAAGGAGCTGCCTTTCACAGCAGTATAAACTGTTAGTAGTTGGAATCACGAGAAATACGGACTCTGCAAGTGTTATTAGGAAGGAATGATTATGCATGTGACTTTTTTTAAACCCTCCAAATATTCTAACAGGAATCTCCCAAAATGCAAGTGCTACTGTATTTCCAAAGCATCATGACTACATATTAGAATTTTCTGAGTATCCAGCAGTTCTCAAACCTAGTCTGAACTTCATAGCTACGGTGAGTTATTCTACTACTCTTTATATTATCAGTATCATTCTAGAAAAAAGGCAAAAGCAGTATTATGGAGACAAGAGTTGGGTTTTTAAAAACACTGCATATATTGATATTGTCTTTTAAAGAAATTAATTACAGTTTCTTTTGAGTCTCTTGGTGTATTAGTTATTGGTGGTTGCAAGCTGTCAGCACTAAATGAACTGTTGGCATTCCATATTTAGGATTTGAGTATAAATCTTAGTTGTTGTAAATCATGGTTTTGAAAGTTTTGGTTTGATTTATGGACATGCCTTTTACTATTTTCAGCTGAAAGTAACAAAAATTGACAACAGTCTGCTGTCGCCTGATGAGCGAAGGAATGACATTGTGATCACTGCCACATCCATAGGGAATCCTGCTTACTACCCATATGGTGATGGGGGTGAATCACAGGCAAATGAGGCATCTCAGAACCTAATCTACCATGTGCCAGAAAATGGGATTATTGAGATTGAGTTTCCGGTTCAAGTTAATACAACAACGCTGCATGTTAAGGTATGCTTTTTCTGTGTTTCCCCCGTCAAAATACGTAAATACTTAATCAGAAGATGAAAAGAATCTTAGTATGGAAACTTGTTCTTATACCTACCTGAGTATTCAAAGTGCTTCAGATGCATCTCAATATCCCTTACAACAGCCCTGCCTAGTACTATGAAACTCCATGCCAGGGGAGTTCTTCCAGGCTTAGGTTTACCCTGTTGAGATTTTTAGGGAGTCAGTTAAAACATACCTATTCTGCTAGGCTTTTTGTGAAAACTGAGCATATTTATTATTATTCTCTATTTTAGCTATTTATTTTGATATGCCAGGACCTATCCCTGATGCATCTCTTACCCTGCCTTTATCATCTGTTGGGATGAGCAGTGCTGCATCCTCAGTGTGCTCTCCCCACAATGTCACTTCTGGTCCAAAGGGTTCACCTTTTGGTTGGACTGCCAACACCTCAGTTCACTGGAGAGGTTGCCTCATTGACCTCTACTCACAAAGGCCAAATCCTGCAAGATGCAGGAGGACATTCATTTCAAGTGTATTAATTTATCCTTTTAGACTTCATAGGAGGTGTGCCCACCAGTGGTTCAGGCAACTATTATGAACCATAGTTAAGCTTCTTCTCCACTCATATGTGAATAAGAGGAAGAGAGTGAAATTTTTCGCTTTCAGTTTTTGCTAAACTATTATTTCTCATCACAAAATTCTGGGAATTATTCTACCTCTAGTTAGTTAAAGCAAACCAGGATGAAACCTTGGCTTGATATCCTGGGTTGTTAACTACCTAGAGTTAAGATAAACAACAGTTCCTCAGATTCATATGGGATGAGAAACTGTGGTTTAGTGAAAAATTAAAGCAGAAGCTTCACCACAACTTGTTAGAAATCATCTAACCTAGGGAGGGGCCTAATTTGGCCTGTCAGGCCTCTGAATTCTCTCCTAGTACTTTTCCTAGCTGTGTCCCTTCATCTTTTTGTTCCTCCTCAAATAGCCTGACCCATTTTGCAAAACATTGAGCTGACAAAGTAGATGCTCTGTTCTTCTTTGCCAGCCTGATTGGCTTCCTTACTGGATATAGATAGAAGATTCTTCCTCTGACAGTATGGAGCCACTCTTCAGTCTATCCATGGCTAGGACAGTAGAGTAGACTGACTAAGCAGATGCAGGATGTTCTACTGCATCAGTCCAATTTAGCTGGCAATGGAGAAAGAGAGAGTTCGTCTGTTTCATCATGGGTGTTTGCTATGTTTCATCTCTGGGCACAGAAACGTCTTCTGAGTGGAAAAAGAAAATCAAAAGTTCTGTGATGCTATCTTGAGACTAATTTAAATGATAATTTAAGAAAATTGCTTCAGGAACTATTGGATTTTCCATCTCTACCTTCTTTTTGCATTCTGATGGAGTGCAGCTTTTTCTTTTTCTTTCATTCTAACCATTAAAGGCAGATTGATATCTTCATTTATTTATGTATGTTTCTTCAATTAGGAGAGGCACTAATTATACAATTTGTGAAACATTAATTGAACTTTATCATTTTCCTCACAATGTGTTGAATGTCCCCCCACCCGTTCCTTTTTTTTTTACAGGCCAAATTTCTAGAGAGCGAAACTTCTATAATCATATATGGTACATTCTACTCTACCACCATGACTTTTCTCCAGATTAAAAAAGCAAGTCAGGATGTAAAGGTAACTTCTGCTTTTCAATAATCGATGAGTTTCAAAATTCACTAATAATGCACTACATCATGATAGGGAATTAGCATGTTCATTCAAGTTGTGTTATTTTTTCCCCTAGGTTGGAACTCCATTTGAGCTGAATCTTCAAAGCAACAAGCCGATGAAAGAGATCAGTTATATGGTATTTTAAAAAATTATTTTATATTTATTGTGTTGAATTTTACCACAAACACGGGAAAGACAGCATAGGCAATAAGGAGGATTTTGCTACTCAAAAATTATAATTTCCAGATAGGACTATGAGCAAGCGTTTAAAAATGCCAATTGTACGTCCTTGTATCATTTGGGTATGCTAATCAGAGAGGTGAGACTGGTTGTAGCTTTTCTACTGAATGTAAATGTACTGGTATTGTAGCACCCTGCTTGTGGTTAACGCTTAGCTGGAATGAAATATTCAACGCAGCAACAGAGAAATTAAAATAATTATTTATTTGTCAGACAAATAAATGAGAGGCACAGTGGTATATGGTTACCAAGCTCTGGCCTGGCCTCCTGCCATTATGGCCAGCACTTATATTCCCTTAATCCAGCCCCCTTTGCTCCTCCTGTGGCTGCCTCTGTCCCATCAGCCTGGTTGAAATTCCTATTGGCTGATTGGTATGACCAATCACAAAAAGATATACCCATATCCTCCTGTCCTTATATGGAACACAAAGAGCTATATATTGTTACATCTATAAATGACAAATAAGTATTAATATATCTTACATGTGTCTCAACAAGGAATCTTAATTACCAGCTCACCTCTTGCCCTCCTTGCCCTACTGCCTTCTAAAACAAATGGTTAATCTTAAATTTTTATCTTAAACATATGTCAAGGATCTTGAGTTTCACATCAACATTGAAAGATCTCCTTCATTTGAAGGTTTCTAAACAAATGTCTGACAACTTATATATCAGGATTGCTCGGATGGCGTCTTCTTGTCTGGCAGGGGGCTGGGCTCAATGGCCCCTGTGGTCTATTCCAACTCTAGGACTCTATGATTCTATGAAATAAGAATCTAACATCTAAATTTGTTACTTTCTAAATCCTTTGCATAGTTACATTTAAACCAATATATTTAAGCTAATATATTTCATACATTATCATAGGTAACCTTTTAAAAGAATAAAGCTTCTCAAAGTAGAAAGGAAGGAACTCAGTAAAAAAGGAACACAGTAAAAACCGTTTTAAAAGAAGCCTCTTCAGTTTACACCCCCCCCTCTTCAGCCAGTTGCTTGTTTTCCATGTGCTCTTGACCTTTTGTCCTGTGGCTCAAGTTTAAGGCACATGGTTTTATTTTACTGTTTACTAACTCTTAATTATGTTGGGTCCGTAACCTTGCTCTTTAACCTGTAATTCCCCCCTTTCACGACTTTGAGAATTGTTTTCTGCTATAAATCAAGGGGCCCCTTGTCTAGGAGGAAAACATTGCCAAGGTTCTCTATAAACAGCTGGCCTTCTTGCCTGGCATGAAACATTTGAAAATCTAAGCCCATTTAATTTAGGAACCTGATCAAAATATAAGCCAATATATGCCTTGATTAAAAATGCAGTCTATATTCAGATGCCACAGTATACCTGTGTTTGCTGCAATGTGTGGCATACAATAAAATGGATTTTTTTATTAGGCATTTATGCCTGTGGGCCCAGAACTATTCACGTGACACCTGTATAGTTGTTATTATACTGTTATGAGTTTGTGGGTGCTAGACCTCTATTATCCCCGGATCCAGTGGGTGTTAGAATTTAATTAAGGCTTGGAGGTGTTAAAACTGGGTGTCAGACCTGTGTGTTTTAGGTTGTATGCCAAACGCTTCTAATCCCCTTGAATCAACAAGTGTTGAAAGCCAGTTAAGCTAAGCTTAGCTTCCTGCGTTAAGTTAATAGGATGGGTAATGGGCCATTAAGATAACAAAGCATCAGAGGAACTTGGTGTGAGACGGTAAGAAGGTGGGTCCCCTTTCCCTCAACTGTTAATGCCAGATCTTAGAGGGGTTAGAGCTAGGAGTTATGTGACCTGGAAGTAAAGCAGGAAGCAGAGCAATGTTTTGAGAGCACCATGTTTTATGTCTGTCTGGATCCAAGACTGCGGCTATGGAAGAAGGCTCTTGGGGTGACTATGCTGCGAACTCCTCTGTCATAGACTTAGGTTGTATATATGTGTAAATAAACTATATACCATAAAGAAACCACAGTCTCCACTGTGCCTCATTTCCAAAAGGAAACACAGACCTTGGATAAGCGCTCCTGGAACCCTTGGAATCTCGCACCGCATGGAGATTAGGCTGGCGTGCAACAATACTTTAGGTGCTTTTATAAATAACAGATGTTGAATTGTGAGATGTGTTACAATTTCAGCTGGAACTCAGCTGACAGGAAGATCAATTAACTTTCCCCCCTCCTCATATAGGTGGTATCTAAAGAACAAATTGTGGCTGCGGGTAAAGTAAACGTTGCAGAATTCTTTTTAACACCAGAGCATTCTTGGGCTCCTACAGCATGCATAATTGCCTACTATGTGAGTGACGATGGTGAAGTAATTAGTGATGATCTCTGCATTCCTGTTCAACTTGTCTTTAAAAATCAGGTAAGTTTGTGTGCATCAACTTCCTCTCACACAAATGGTGTTCTGTTTTGTTTTGAGACTATACACAAAAAGGGAAGCATAAATAAATACAAGTCAAATAAACATAGTATGTAACTGAAGCCCACACACTGATAGGCATTAGCATAGAGTTATGGTTTACAAACTATTTCACTAGTTGGTCTTTTTAATTGCTCATTAACATCTTTCAGATTTTAAACTGGGTTTCCTGCATTAGAGCCCATTTATAGACCTTGCTGTACCTACCAGCAAAGGATGCTTAGGGTTAAATGTATTGGCTGCTGGTTCAAACAGCTTCACAGTGCATGGCCTTATGTCCATGTTGAGCAAAAGAGCATGCATTCTATACACTGCATACGTTTATTTACATATCTGCATTTAATTTAAAAGCCATCCTATATGCTCTCTGGGTGGCATATATGGTTAAACAGTAGCATTAAAAATCACAGTTACATTAAAATAATTTAAATAAATACAGATTATTTTTACTTTGCTACAGTTGTTTGATATAAAAATGGAAGATGTTTGGCCCAGTTTGCTTACCTGCCCCCCTCCCCAGCTTTCTACCTCCAGTCCCTTTTAGGTCATGTGCTGTTTATCTCTTCAATCCTGCGTTGTGTTTCCTCTGTCTGCTACTTTGACTTATTTTTTCTTCTGGACTTTCCCCACCTTTAACCTTGCTTCATTCTTCTTTCTCTGTCTTCTAAGGATGGCTCCTGCATCTTTGGGCCAAAATAGATAGGTTATCAAGAGATCCATGACTGGAGATAACACCATGTTTTGTTTTTTAATGAGGGGATTCATACTCTCTCTCCAGCACTGTGGCTGTAACCTGAACTTCCCTCCCATGGGTACATTTCTTAAAAAAATATATATATAGGAGTCAGCACCTGAAGTAAAATAATTGTTCATTCTCCTTTATCTACTGCATAATGTAAACTAATCTGCTTCCCCCCCACCCCCAGATCAATATGTATTGGAATAAAAATAGAGCTGGGCCTTCTGAGGAAGTCACTCTCAAGATTAATGTGACGGAACCAAAAACAACCATTGGTCTTCTGGTTGTTGACAAAAGCACAAAGCTCCTGGGGAAAAGAAGTGATATCACAGAGGATGCTGTAAGTTTCTGAAAGAAAAGAAATGTTTGAAGTGTATTTTAGAACTGTGTAGGAGCAGCTATTAGATTTGATTGTGAGCTTTGTCATTATACTGTTAAAGTAAGCCTCCATGAAGTGGGCCTAAGAAGCAAAGAATGGGAAGAATCTGTTTTCACAGCTTGAGAGCATGAATTGGGGAGAATTATATAATCCTTTTGTGGGAAGTAGAATGAGAGACACACAACAATGCTGGTGCTTCCTTCCTTCCTCCTGACCCCTATCTACAGTTCTTGCAAACTTTATCCTTTAGTATGTAGGGGAGGTTTTCAGGGAAGCTGAGCATATAAGTAACATAATGTTACAAGAGTGTTACTTCCCAACCTTCCAGAAGCTGTCGGAAGTTCCAGGAGTGGCCTTTTTATAGTATGGGATGGCAAAAAGCATTAGAGAATAAAAGTTTGTACCATTCTGGTTCCTGCACCTCAAAAAGTGGGAAAGGTCCTGGAAGGGGCACCTGAAATGATCAAGGGTCTAGAGCAACTTCCCCATGAAGAAAGGTTGCAACATTTTAGGCTTTTTAGTTTGGAAATATAGTGAATAAAGTGGGATATGATAGAGATGTATAAAATTATGCATGGTGTAGAAAAAGTGAGAAACTATTGACAAACCTGTGGTAAGTGGTAGAGATACAGGGGAAGTGAGAAAACATTTTTATTGATTCCCATTGTATTTTTGCAAGGATTTTGTTAACAATTCTGTACATACTCAATTTTAAAGTATCATAACAGCTAAGTGGCAGATAACTGTTTTTGTTGACTTTTATTATTATTGTGTCTTACAATTTTTGTTATTCTTACAGATAAGACTCTTGCTAAGTAGAATATTCTTTGTTAAAACAAGATCTATGTGATCATGATTAATTGAATTTATTTTGGTTTCTCCTATGAAAACTAAGTACTATTACTATTATTTTAGATTCATCATGAGCTAAGTTTATATAATAGAGGACTTGATTATGGTGCAGCCAGAAGTTCATATGGTGTCTTTCAGGTACAGTTTTAAAATGCATATGTACTTTTCCATTGTTTTGATGTATTAAAGAAAATAAAAGTTTGGTAAGGGTTACTCAGTAGGCAGTTCCATTCATTAGTATGCTTGTGTTTTCAGATGCAATTGGAGAGAAGAAAACTCAGTCCTCTGTAGATACTGACTTTCTTCCACACAAAGCTAGCTTTTATTTTCTAAACTAAAAATGCTGTTTATTTATGCATGCTTTAAAATATGTAAAGTAAAAATGTATGTTAGTAAAAAGAAATAAAATATAGGTTGACAAAAATGGTTCACATGTTGCATATTTTTTAAATTTAAAGTTATTTTTATATATTGTGTTTAGAATTGCAAACTCTGGGTATTGACTGACGCCAGCCTTCCAGAAGATGAAAACTATGAAGGCTGTAAGTAAAAGTAACATCAAGTATAATTCTTTGTTTTTGGCTCATGCAATGTATGTAGAACATAAAGCAAGTGTTCCTTTCTTTTGTTTATTTCAATTAAGCAAATAAAATTATATATGTGTGTGTGTGTGTGTGTGTGTGTGTGTTGAAAAAAAGTGACACAATTTAGGATGCAGTGTAGATTTTAAACACTGAAATTATATGAAGAGAATGTTACAGTATTCTCTCTTCCCCCCAGTTATGGATTATAGCTCAGCTTTAGAATTTCAGCATCATCTGGAGCCCCCAAGAGAGTCTGTTGGTTTTGAAAATCCCCATATAAGGACAAATTTCCCAGAGACATGGATTTGGCGTGAAATCACAACAAGGTAAACAGAAAGGGTTTTCTTTACATATCCATTCTTATTAGAGAACAATTAATGTAATGTATTACCAGCAGAAGGAACTTCTCTGTAGCTTTTAATACTTCTGTTGAAGAGTTTCCCATCAAATGGGCATCTTTGCCGAGCACCAATATGCAGGACAGCCCATTCTTGAAGAATGTTATAAACAATGTTTACAAATAAGTTACAAATAAGGAAAAGGGCAAAATACTCTTAGAAGCTGGTTCATACTTGAGTGACAAACACCATAAAGTTGAACAGCAACAAGCATTTATTTATATGCCACCCATCTGACTGGGTTTCCCCAGCCACTTTGGGCAGCTTCCAACAAATTAAAACATCAAGCACAGTGTAAAGCAGAAGTGCATATTTGTAGCAAGTAGTGGGCATATGTCAGGGGTATGCTGCCAATCTTGGATCCTTTAGCACGTGTCCTTTCTGCTCCATGCTTATAAACATATATTTTTGCTTACCGCTTCAAAGTGTCTTCCACTCCAAAACACCAATATGTATGTGGCAAGCACCCTTATCTCATAAAATATGAATAGAACCATGGCCCTTAGGTAGAAACTGAATGCATAGCCTTCATTTGTACCTTTGCAAATCTTTCCTCAAACCATTAACTTGATTTAGCAAATCATTCATTACTCCACCAGGAAAATCAGCCTAGATTTACTGACCATTGTTGATGTTTATCCTTCTGTAATTATATTTCTGTTTTCTTTTCATTTTTAGATCGACTGAAACAACACTGAATGTCACTGTTCCTGATACCATTAGTACCTGGGTAGCTAGCGCGTTTATAATATCTGAAAACCTTGGACTGGGTGTGATGAAAACGCCTATTGAGGTAACAGAAATTCAAGTGCAAATACAGCTCACCCCTCTGTAGAACCCTGAGCATAGAGGTGTGATTTCATCTGCCAACAATACTATGTCCATGTGGTGGTGAGAAGATGCAGCTCAGAAACTGAGGCCATTCCAAAGGCGAAGGGCATCTTTTTCAGATATTTGGTGCCTTAAACCTTAACATTGCCTCAGCTGCCATTTAAACCATAGGGATGAGGAAAGCTGTGGAGGAAAACAGAGCAAGAGAAGAGAATTAGCACCAGGAAAAGGGCTAGAAGAGCCTTAGTGTTCTAGAGAGAATAAGCCCAGTGGCAAGTTGGGTTTGTAGCCTATCCTTGTCTCCCAAGATAAGCTTTCTTAGGAAACAGGAAAGATCCGGTGAAGGAAAAGTCTGCAGGAAATAGGCACTAGAGGGCACTCTAATCTAAGAAAAATAATAATAGGGTTAGGATGAGTTGAAAGCATCACTATAAAAACAGATTTCAAAATAAATACCACCTTTTGCTACTTTAGTGATGTGTCCTATTCCCTAAATAATATGGGATATCTCAGAACCCTAACTCCATAATAGTGACAGAAGACAGCTGTTGGCTTGTGCTCTCAGGGCAGCAGAAGCAGTGGACTGTCACTCAAACATTGGCATGTAAGGTAAAGGTAAAGGTACCCCTGCCCGTACGGGCCAGTCTTACCAGACTCTGGGGTTGTGCGCCCATCTCACTCTATAGGCCGGGGGCCAGCGCTGTCCGGAGACACTTCCGGGTCACGTGGCCAGCGTGACAAAGCTGCATCTGGCGAGCCAGAGCTGCACACGGAAACGCTGTTTACCTTCCCGCTAGAAAGCGGTCCCTATTTATCTACTTGCACCCGGGGGTGCTTTTGAACTGCTAGGTTGGCAGGCGCTGGGACCGAGCAACGGGAGCGCACCCCGCTGTGGGGATTCGAACCGCCAACCTTTCGATCGGCAAGCCCTAGGCGCTGAGGCTTTTACCCACAGCGCCACCCGCGTCCCACAGCGCCACCCGCGTCCCACAGATAAGGAGTTGGGAAGCATTATTAGGACTGTGCTCCTATATCTACTCTGAGAAAAAGTCCCATTGAACTTGCTTTTGTGTAAGGCTTTGTAGGATTGCACCATAAAGATGAATGAACAGAAATGGCCAGTTTCTTCAACCTGGGTGTATTGATCTTCCTTAATCAGGCTACAGGCTGAACCTTTTGCAAACCCTCACATTACTACTGCCACCCCCTCTAAAAGAGCTAGTGAGGTTTCAGGTCCCTGGCAAAAGAATCCACCAGGCACACTAGTGCAAAATTAGGGGAAATCTAGGAAGCTTCAATGATAAGGGGTATGCCAGCCAACTTGGAGGGAAGTCAGAGACCAATGCTGCCGTTTTGTCTTGCTAGTGTTGCTCTTGGCCTTCCTACCAGCTTGATGACAGCCCCACCCCCAAATAGATTCAGTAAGAAAGCATTGCAGAGGCATCCCAGGCCTACTGTTATCTTTTTGAGGATCTTCCCTGTGCAGAAGTGGAGGAGGAGGAGGAGTTTGGATTTGATATCCCGCCTTTCACTCCCTTTAAGGAGTCTCAAAGCGGCTAACATTCTCCTTTCCCTTCCTCCCCCACAACAAACACTCTGTGAGGTGAGTGGGGCTGAGAGACTTCAGAGAAGTGTGACTGGCCCAAGGTCATCCAGCAGCTGCATGTGGAGGTGCGGGGACGCGAACCCGGTTCACCAGATTACGAGTCTACCGCTCTTAACCACTACACCACACTGGCTCTCGAGTGTTGATCATGCTTCTGACTTGGCAAGTGCTGGTTTGGGAGAGAGTCATTGGTGAGCCCACAAATGTATTGCATGCCCAGGTGCAGGGAGCCTGTGCCTGGCCAGGGCCCAGAGAATGATGACAAATAAAGAGACAGGACAAAGTATTGGGTTCAAACAGACCACAACTTTATTGATTACAGATGTATGTAGCCTTTGGTGTAGGCAGTGGGTATGTACCCTGAATCAGCCAGCCCGACTGCAGGTAGAATAATGGTTGGGTTGGCCCTGGGTTAAGGGTTGCCCTATGATATACATCAGTTGCAGGCAGTCATACCAGGACTGCCATCTCGGCATCTGGACAGAAGCAACCCCTCTTGGATCCCTTTAACGGGGTACCCTATTTTTTTTATAGAAGGGGACTGACTCCCAAGCCCTGCCTCCCACCAAGACTAAGGATCCAACCCAATGCCATATCTGCCAACAAGTTCTGTCAATTTTCCAGCTGTTGTTGGACTCTAATCCCTATCAGCCCCAGACAGCATGGCCAGTGGTCAGGAAGGATGGGAGGTGTAGTCTCATCGACATCTAGAGGACCAAAGGTTCCCTCGTCCTGTTTTAGGATAAGGTAGTACAGTGGCACCTCGGTTTTTGAATGTAATCCGTTCTGGAAGACCATTCGAGTTCTGAAACATTCAAAAACTGAAAACTCAAAATGGAAGCCTCAAAACAGAAATCTCAATATGGAAAACTCAATACGGAAGCCACGTTTCCGGTTCAACTTCAGAGGCACGTTCGAGCTTACAGTGTTCGAGTTCCAAAACATTCATCAACAGAGACATTTGAAAACCGAGGTACCACTGTATATAAGTTTATTTTTTCTTCTAAAATAAATTACATAAAAAAATACTTATTAGCGAAGCTCTTGAACAATATTCAGTATCAAATCTGATACTATAATCAAACGAGAAGAGTGGTTGAGGTTTGGGGTCCAGGCTTTCCATCTGGCAGTTATATATGAAAACAAAACATTTGATTATGAGAATACCTCATTCATGGATTTGGATCTGGATATTAACTTTTATTTCAAGCTCACTTGAGATTAAGGTCAATATTCCTTTCCCCCCTGAATGTAGTTTGGCAGAGACTGATCAATCCTGGTGATTTCTGACTATGAAAGTGCACGCTTGGCTGAACGTGCCAACAGTTGAGTAGTCTTTAATGAAGCCATAGCCAAGATTCCACTTCACTTCTCACAATGACTTAATTTCCCTCCTGTACATTGTTGGATTGCTCGGTTTCTATTTAAAGTTCCATATGGTGAAAACATGTTATACATTGACACATGCAAATAATATTTTTACAAAAACATATAACTGAGCACAGGCTTTATAGATACAGTGTTAATAAGCTTACAGGGCTTAGGAATGAGCCTTATCTGGTATTAATTAAAAATCTATGATGGATATAAGTTCCTAGTGGGTGCTCCTTGCAAGCACAACATAATTCACAAGTGTGAATTGAGAACTTTCTGTACAGTGAATTTTCTTCTTTTTCTGAGCATCAGTTTCACCCACCCTCTGCCTCACTCTGCTGACCATATCACAGTCTATTTTTGAACATTTTGACTGGTGGGACTGCTGTCTGAAAATATGGGGGAAAGCCATTCTTTATTCATGCTATCCCTTACACATGTGCAAAGAGCCCCAGTGGATTACAGGGTGGCCAACTTTTATTTTCAAAATATTAGTGATATGGGGGTAGAGATGGAGTGAAGTTGGGCAGAAACTAGTATATCAGCTTTGGAGCCTAGAATAATCTGGATGGGGTGGACTTTGGCAGGATTTGGAGCTCATTGTCTTTTGGATACTAATACTTATTGCCTGATATAACATAGCTCTTCTGGTCAGGCCAATCAAATAATATCTGGTTGGCAACCCTACTTGTATCACAACAGCTACAGTCTTTAACTTACTTTAATCAGAATATGCTCAGTAAATTAGATTTTGCTCTTGAACCAGTGTCTAAAGTTATTCTAATACAGGCAACAGTAAATTCCTTTTTAAGTGTAGGAGACATACCCCAAGAACTATTTCATACTGTAGCTATGCGAGGTTCAGGGGCTAAATGCTGTCCTGGGCATATAAGAGTGCCATAGTTGTGAAAGAGACACATCTTTGTATGTGTGCGAGTTGAGAGATGGGGCAGCTGTGTTTTGGAGCCCCATATTCAATCTGTGCAGCTATATGTCAGCTTCTAGCATGCCGGCTGAGGTACTTCAAGAACTGCACGACCTACAAAATGTGCTATGTGAAAGTTGCACCCCCCATTTCTTAGAATACTGATGTTTGTTTTTAGTCAATTAAATTCTAACTGGCCAATGATCAAGGTCTGTTGTGAAAAGTTCTAATCAAAAACCATCTGCATTTAAATTGTATTCTGCTGAACAACTAACCTATACACCACAAGGGTTCACTGTTGTATAACTTTTTATATTTTTCAGTTAGAAGTCTTCCAGCCCTTTTTTGTTTCCTTAAACCTTCCTCCTAGTGTTACAAGAGGAGAAGAGATTGTTTTGGAAGTAAACCTCTTTAATTATTTGAAAGAAGGCACTGAGGTAAACATTCATTCATTTGTTCATTTTCTAATATTAGGTGGAATCCAATGGTGTCTGTACGTGAGCAGAATGGATTTCTCACACGACAGTTCACATTTGTTCTCTGCACCCTCGCCTGCACGCACCCAACCCTCTGGAGCAAATTTAGGTGTGTGTAGGGAGTGTAAGTTGAGAGCAAGAGGAAGTCCTGTTGTGTGAGAGGAAGTCCATGCACACAATTTTGGATTTTGCCCATGATGTCTTGTAGTTGCCTTATCTTTGCTGTTGCCAGCTCTTAGTTAACCTTTGCTGGGGTAGTTCATGGTCTTGCTGGAACATGGATTCAGAGATAGACTGTTTTAAGTCTATCGGTTACTGATCCTAGGGGCTGGGGTGGGGAGTCATTTTGCAATCGGATTTTGTCAGTTTTTTTGTTTTGGCTTAGGCTGTGATCCTACGCAGATGTTCTAAGGAGTAAGCTACCTTGAACACAGTAAGAATTGCAGCTGAGTAAACATGCATAGAATCATACTGTATGGATGGGCTTGGACAAAAGCGCTGATTGAATTTTGATGCCAAATGGACTGTTTTTGGTATAATACAGAACGTTATAGCTAAGTGTGGCTTTGCCTTAGCAGAAAATTTGCACAAGTTTCACATGTTATTTTGCTTTTGACATTTACTCTGCACTTTCTTCTTTTCTCTGTCCTATCTCCTGGTGTCATATTTGTCTCACTTTCAATTCTCCTAGTTCCCAGTTGCCCACCCCCTTCTTTCTTGTTTGTGTTTTCTTGAGTGTTCCTGGGTACTCTAAGGTTGATGTATCCTGGTGGGCCCACCCACGTTATAATTGGTAGTAGTCACATCTATGTGAAATCCTTTCTGTGTCTCCTGGTAAATGTCACATTAAATGTCTTTGCTAGTAGCACAAAATATATGTTAATTAGCCACTTTTTTATAGGTTACGGTGACCCTTGATACAAGTGACACCTTTGAAATCCTTATTGTTTCTAATGATATAAATGCCATGGGAAACCAGCGATCAGTATGGGTACCAAGTGAAGCTGCAAAGACTGTTATTTTTCCGATCAAGCCAAAGCAAATTGGAGAGATTCCCATCAGAGTGACGGCCATATCTCCCATTGCTTCTGATGCTCTTTTACAGAAAGTATTAGTGAAGGTAATTTAAATCATTATTTACACAAGCTGTTTGTGGGATGGATGACCCACTTTTAAAAGTTGCACACAGTTGATAATTAGTGTTAAGTATTTATGGGAAGTTTCTAAAGGGAGTGATGATCTGAGCGTTGTAAGTACCCAATTTGTGCTTAACTCTGGAGCTGTGTCTAGGTTCTGCATAGAACATGGAAGAAACATGGTCTCTATGCGGACAGGACAAAACTGAAGTGGGAAGACAGAATCTGATGAAAGGATTAGCAATATTGAGAAGGATTAACTTATTACTACAGGAAAATAATGATTCTAACAAATCTCATGTTGAAGGTTACATAATTAATATCTCAGCCATAACACATTTGCTGTGAAATAAGTCTCCTTGGTTTCTGAGGAAATTACATTAATGGAACACTGCTTGGTATTGATATATCTAAAACTGGTGATAGTGTTTGTATCTGGGCATAGCTTGAGATCAAAGAATCTGTCAATTTTAGATTCTCTCTGTTCCTCATTTTTCCAGTATTAAGTTCCCTTCTCAGCATGGTTTAGCATTATGTCTGAATCAGGCCAGTCACACCACAGCTTCAGGTCGGTTGTTCACTTCCAGACCTTGAGACTTAAAGCACTTATTTCTGCACATAAAGGTGTAATACACAAATACTAGAACTATTTTGTAAAGTACGTGGCACATTAATTTAGTAGATCATTGTTTATGAAATCAGGCATGTTTATATCTGAACTGGCCCTTAAGGTATGTTTGGGTTCCACATGAACCAAGACTAACATGGAAGTTGTGCACCACTTACAAACTGCAGTGTTAAGCAGTATGTAATTGCAAATTGTTGAAATAAAAATGTGAAGAAGCTTTATGGTTGTTTTCTGCACAAAAATAGGCTTAAATTGTGCTCCTTGAAAACCTTCACATTAAGCTATGAATTATTAAGAAGACCCAACTCTGTTGCAGAAAACTTCATGGCAGAAATTTATTAGTCTTGAAAAGAGTTTCTATATTGTCGTAAGATGCAATTTTGATAACTTGTTATTCAAGATTAATAGTGCACATCAACTCTTGTGAAGCAAAAATCCATGGAGATATGCATTGTTGCATTTTTGCTTCATTTCCCAATATCAGCACTGCCAATGCAATCCTATACAAATGTCTACTCAGACATTATTTCTATTGAGTTCAGTGGTGCTTAATCCCAGCTAAGCGGATACAGGATTGCACTCTGAGATCCGTAGAGGTCCCTGATATTGGGAGAAGTGCACAAAGAATTACCATACCTAATAACTTTTGGACATGCATCTAGTCTTTGTTTTTTTTTTCACAGGCTGAGGGATTAGAACAGTCTCACTCAGAGACAGTTCTTTTGGACCTGTCCAAAAGAATAGGATTTGAAACAAAAAGACTGAACTTCACTTTTCCCTCTGATGTAGTACCTGGCAGCGAAAGAGTGCAAGTCACAGTTATTGGTAAGCATTTCACTCCTCTTACATTGTTTCATTTTGATGCCTGCTGGCAAATAAAAAGTAAATATGAAACTGAAATATCAGTAAGAGTGCTCTAATTGATTGCTGAATTATTCAGCATGCAAGTTATTTTGTTACTGGTTTGGTATCATGACTGGTTTTGAATAGATAAATTATCCCTTGCCTGTGAGAATAGGTGGAAGTGTTCCATGTCACTGAAAAGGAAATGCTGTGCAGGCTATTTCTCATATAACTCATTAATTTCAGCCTCCTTTTTTATTGCTAACATACAGTGTTGGAAACAGAGATATGAAAGCTAGGAGCTAAATGGCACCTTAAACCTAGGTTATGGGCGCAACAATGGAATGTCTAGGCATGCTTTTTTATAACAATAATACAGAGCTGAAAATGAATGAACTGCAGCTAAAATATATTTTTCACACAGTCTAATCCTTCCCTTGCCCATCACCCTAATATTCTTAACAGGGTCTCTTGTCCAGTCTTCAGAGAATAGCTGGAAGTAGGGAGGCAGAAAAAGGTCCTCCTTTCCTTCCACACTACAGCTCAGAAACTGCTTGGGCTAATGAAATTCCTTGTCGCAAAATGTGCCTAGAACAATGGAAGTTTCAAACACTGCTAACATACTAGCATAGCTCTGTAGAGTATTGTATACCTGCTACACATTTTTGGGTTTTGTTGTTGTTGGTTGGTCTTCAGTTTTATATGTAATTACCATCAATTTTTTAGAAGACATTGATGTATTATATTTTGTTTTATGTTGAGCTCCTAGTGGTCTCATATCCAGGAGATTAATCAGGTCTGCACTTGGTAAATTTCAGCAATGCTGCAGCCTCAAATACTCTTGGCCCATTCCCTAGACTCACATTATCAGCAGAAGTGATATAGTGTACTGCATATGTATGATAATTTCAGTTATTGTGTGTCTGCTTCATTGAAGTGCATGAGTATCCTTTAGGTTATCCTTTAGAAGTGATCCAATGTTTTTTCTTGAGCTTAAAAGAAAACCCGCTAAGTGATTAACTCAACCTTCCACATTTCTCTACTGGCATTTCCATTACGTTGTCTTGTGAATGTATCTTTCAGGAGACATCCTCGGCCCCTCTATTAGCGGTTTGGAGTCACTGATCAAGATGCCTTATGGCTGTGGGGAACAGAATATGATCAATTTTGCACCCAATATTTATGTTCTGGACTATTTGGCCAAAGCAGGAGACCTGAAGCCCAGACTTAAATCCAAAGCTATGTCATATATGAGAGAAGGTAAGAATCTGTTTTTGGAGAAGAGCCCTGCCATTTATTGTGGGTTTCTATTAAGGTTTGATGGGAGAAATCATGCCTCCTGCATGGATTGCTTTCCTTTTTCCCTATACATGCCTCATGTGTGATGGATAGATAGAAGGGTAGAATGGGCAGAAAATTGCAAACACTGTCTGAGACGATTTTGTGAGCCCTGAAAGCTTGCCAGTAGCAGCTGTCAAAATAAGAAATGACCAGGACTGTAACACCTCCTGTAACGTGTGTAACAAGGTAATTCAAATTCTACATTGCCCACACACATGGTTTAAGCATAGTTTTGCAATAAACTCAGTTTAACTGTACCTTTGGAATCCTAATACAACTGGAAACATAAAAAGATAAAAACTCTGAGAATCTGAGGAAGCTAGTTTTCTCACCCAAAACCATATTATCTGTTTCTTCTTTACTTAAGTAGAGTTGTGACATACACAGTCCTGACTTCCAAACTGCTCTTGCACCACACAGGTTGCATCCTTTTTGAACACAATTGGGCAGATTTAATCTCCAGTGTAGGACTGTTGACTTTGGTACTGTCATGTTACAACTAAATTTGGACTTGCATCCCAGATCAGTCTCCCACAAAGAAGGAACAAAGGCCACCGACAACAGAAACGGTTTTGTTTGCTTTGCTGAACTCCATGGGTTGTATTTGGCCTGACAACTGGACTTTGGCCACCCTAAAGTTACACAGTTAGTTTCAAAAATAATGAACATCTGTTTTTTAAGCAACTTCTTTGAAGTTTGCAAGCAATCTGTCACTCCCTGTAGATTGATTTATACTATCATAATGTTTTTAACTTCTCCAAACATTAGTTTCATTAAAGCTATTTTTAAATGAGTCATAACTGTATTGTTAAATTTGTCATTCAGTGATACATTGTTTAACTTAAATCACGCTTGGCTTTGGGATTTACAATGTTTCTTTGCATTCTTTTGCGGCCAGAATAAAAGCTATCATGGAATAGCTTTGATTTTAAAATAGAAAAATACTCTCCATCTCATTTTCTTTTGTTTTGTACAGTTGCTTCTTATGGTCCTTTTGGAAAGGCTTATATTTATACATATTCTTTTATACATCGTGATCATAGTCTACCCAGTGTAGCATAAAATAAACTTTATATCATATGTCTGAATTCCTAAAAAGTACAGGCTCCAAAACAACCTTTACAAATGTTTTCCTATACTTTGCTTGATGATTATGAATAGCTTTTTGTTATGCTACGTTGTCAATAAAAATCATGCAGTACACCACCTTTTTAACATTTCTAAGTTGGAAGGTCTTTGAAAACAGTATACAATGTTCCTTTCTAAAGCTTGCCTAAAAGTTCAATCCTACACACTTTTGCACTGAAGTAACTCCCACTGTATTGGAAGGTGTTTGCACCCTAATGAGTGTGTTTGGGATTGCAGTTGGGATTACAGCTTCTCACCCTTACTCGTAAATGACTCAGTGGCCATTTCATGCATTACATTTGTAAGGTGTGCTTTTTATTTATGGAAATAACTGCTCTAAAAATGTGAAATGTCAATGCAACAGAGACAGGTATTGTATAGGGACACTCATCAGGAAATAGTGATTGGCAGTAGATATATATATTTTTTTAGTGTATGTTCATTGACTAACCCAGGTTTGCTTCTGTCTAAACTGTGAAATGTCTCTGGTGTGTCCTCTGTAGTTTATAGTAATTGCTTCTTGACTGTCCAGTGGATCCATTGGGTCTCACTTTTCTTTTGGTAGGGTCATAGCATGTAACATGTACTCATGACACAAAAGTAGTCCCATTAAGGTAAACTTGTGTTTTTCCTACATAGGAGATTATCTCTAGCCAAGTTGATTGTAAAATATGAAGTGACTCTAAATTATTGATTTACACACATTGAGATTATGCGTTGTATTCAACTAAGTTTTACTCTAGAGCAGACCCACCACTTAAAATTAATGAACACAACTAAGTTGGGTCCATTAATTTCAGTGGGTCTGCTCTGAATAAAACACAGTTGAATACCACCTTGTGGTTTTATTCTAACAGCCGAGTTATTCCTAAAGGCTAATTCATTTGGTCATTTGATCACTTCATACAAGTATTTTTTTTTAACACATTTTGAGATATGAGTTCCTGCCAGGTGGTGTTTATATGGGTTGGTGGTTTCAGTCTGTAAACTGTAGGGATTGACTCTAATCAAAAGGCATTACAAACATCTTAGCTTTAGTGCACAAACATGGTTCTCTTTTGGCCAGTTTGTTTTACATCTGTGTGTGTGTTTGGGGAAGTATAATGGTGGTAATATGTAGTATGGATGATGTAGTTTAAAGTGCAAACTAGGAGAGATTATGCTTCCAAACCCAGCCCTCTGGTTTTATTATTTTCCTGCTGTTTGTTAAAGAGGTGCTAAGTGAATTGCACCCTTTATCTGGGTTGATTGATTTTAATTTTCCTAAATGTTTCCACCTCTGTCTCACTTCCAGAAATGCACTGGGTTGGCTCAGCAGGTGTGTTTTATGCCAGACCAATCTCCCTGCCCCCTCACCCCTCTCTCTCCTGGTACACGACAGTGATCCCCACCCGCCAATTAGACAGTGCAGCTGCTCTGTTTACTTGGCAGGCTTCTGCCCACTTCTTTCTTCTGCTGATTTTTCACTTTCAGATTGGGAACAGAGCTAGCTTAATATATATGGGATTAAAAAACAAAACAAAACCCAAGACTTAAAGAATATTCAGGAGAGATAGATATATGAGACTATCATGGTTCAGATAACATGGGTTCTGTTAGTAAGATTACACAAGTCATTCACTTTACCTGCTCCCATGCACGCTGAAGAGTAAAATGTGAGTGCAGCTCCCTGAATACAGTTTTAAACTAGAAAAGTATATTTCACATTTCACTTTATCATATAAGGTCCCTGGATAAGTGCTTCACAGAATCAGTTTGTTAGCAGTGGGAATAATAATTGGGCTTGATGATGAAGGAGTTAAGTACTTTGCCCCTGAAGCTTGCTATCTGACCTTGGGCCAGTTGCCTTCTCCCAGCCTGACCTACCTCACAGGAGTGTTGTGAGGATAAAATGGCAGGTAGCGTGGGATATAAATGTAATAAAAAACATACAGTGGTGCCCTGCAAGACGAATGCCTCGCAAGATGGAAAACCCGCTAGACGAAAGGGTTTTCCGTTTTTGAGTTGCTTCACAAGACGAATTTCCCTATGGGCTTGCTTCACAAGACGAAAATGTCTTGCGAGTCTTGCGATTTCCCCCCCACTTCCCCCCCTTTTTCTAAGCCGCTAAACCGCTAATAGCCTTTTAGCAGCTAAGCCGCTAAGCCTTTAATAGCCGCTAAGCCGCTAATAGCGCTAATCCGCTAATAGGGTTGCTTCGCAAGACGAAAAAACCGCTAGACGAAGAGAATCGCGGAACGGATTCTTTTCGTCTTGCGAGGCACCACTGTAAATCAGTATTTGAATTCTTTCTGTATAATATTCCAATTCAGCCTCCCATTACATTATGTACATCAATTAGTGCATCAGCTTTTTGATTATCTGAGACTGTAAACCCGCTGTAATAAGGAATTTCTCATAGATCTTGCTTTTTATAAGACACTGTTTTGTAGTTGAGATGCATTATTCAACCAAGCATGAGTAGCAGTTTGGTTCCTATAAGGTTTGGCAATCAGTCTGCAGTGGATGCCTAGCTGGAAGGTGATAAACCTATTGAATAAACTCAGCCCAACTGCCATACAATGCTGTTCTTATATTTCATTTCTCCAGGATACCAAAGAGAGCTTCTGTATCAAAGAGATGATGGTTCTTTCAGTGCTTTTGGAAACAAAGACAACTCTGGCAGCACGTGGTAAGTGTTCAGTAAACAACGTGCATCTTTAATAGTCTTGAAGTTAGCAAGATGCATCAATTATGTTTTGGTACAGCAACCAACTGCCAAAACCAGAGTCATGTACTAAAGGTAAAGGTACCCCTGCCCGTATGGGCCAGTCTTGCCAGACTCTAGGGTTGTGCGCCCATCTCACTCTATAGGCCGGGAGCCAGCGCTGTCCGCAGACACTTCCGGGTCACATGGCCAGCGTGACAAGCTGCATCTGGCGAGCCAGCGCAGCACACGGAACGCCGTTTACCTTCCCGCTGGTAAGCGGTCCCTATTTATCTACTTGCACCCGGGGGTGCTTTCGAACTGCTAGGTTGGCAGGCGCTGGGACCGAACAATGGGAGCGCACCCCGCCGCGGGGATTCGAACCGCCGGCCATATGATCAGCAAGTCCTAGGCGCTGAGGTTTTACCCACAGCGCCACCCGCGTCCCAGTCATGGATGCCAAGTTCTAGGTTTGGGTCAAGTAATCTTTGGTGAGATTATAAGTTATTATAATTCTTAGAGCTGGATGTGTACACCCGTGACTCACATTGTAGGTCCTCGTATGTAGTTCTTGCATATTACCCAGAAAATGTATAAAATGTAGTTGATGTCTGCAGATTCCCCAAGGATGAAGATTACAAGTTTTAATAGCTGCACAGCAAGTACTAGGCATAAAATGCACATACAAAGTCACTAAGGCAAATGGGAATGGCTGCACCTACAGGCTAGTATAGCTTTTCTTCTCCCAACACCAGGCCATGTTGATGCTAAGTTTGCTGCTGCTGTATTTGCAACTAGATCATTCATCTGCCTTCCCATCTTTCACCTAGGGGCATTTGCAGGTGTTCACATGCAATACTGCTGCTCCTTTGACAACCCGATTGTTGTTGGTGGCAAGGGGAAAAAATAGAGAATTTCTGGATGCCAAGTTCTAGGTTTGGGTCAAGTAATCTTTGGTGAGAGAACCCCACCAGAGATTTAAAATTATGCAGCAAAGCAAAGCATAGGAATATAGGCTGTTAGACCTTTAAAATATGCTCTGCTGAGTTCCTTCCAAAGTCCCCCTGTTCCCTTAGCATAGAAAAAGACCACATGTTTGGTAAGATAGAAATGCTTTACTTACAAACTCTCCAAAAGTCAGATTCATGTGCTTTTCCATAGTTAGAAAACACAAGCAGTCATTGCCTTAGCTACAGTGGTGAAAGTTCCTAAATTATTGAGATAGGAACACACGAAAGGCTTGTTAGAGCCATGCAGTGTTAGCTGCAGCAGCCAGTTCAGACATCACACGTTGAGCTTCTAAGGTAGACAGTGGGACAAAAATAGGCTTGATTACCTTCTTCCTGAGGTGAAGGGAAGTGACCTAGCTAAGCCTGGCAGGACAGCTTATTCTGTGGCATCAACTCCTTCATGCATTAATTAGAGTTATATGAGGCTGGTTATCCCTCAAATGTGTGGGTCTGGGTGAGTGTCGTGGGTCACTAAATAATTTCAGGAGAGGGGTGGAAAGTGAATGATATGGCTTTAAAGGTTGAAATGCTTGGTTGCCATCTGCTATGAACTTTTGGAGGATGAAGCATTTGTTCCGACTTTGCACTGTAGTTCTTGCATTGTAATTTGGCATATCCATGCTCTCTCAATAGAAAAAGCTGCTGGCTATTTCCAAGTATTTCTTTTTAAGAGCTGCTTTGCATGTTTCACACTTGAGAATTTTTTCATAATGTTGTAGAATATGCCCTAAATACTTTTATTTATTTATCTGCACTCAGAGTTTGCATTTCCACTAAAGAGCACAGAGGAGCTTACATATGGTTCCCATATGGTCTCCTATTCAGACAGTTTACAAGGCCAGACATGTTCATGAAAATATGTAATAAACAAATTGTTCCAATTGTATGCAATTAGCACATGCAAAGCTTGTTTTAAGCCTTCCAGTGCATATATTTGTGATATTTTCTTAAACACATTGTGCAAGTTAAATTAAAGAATGGGATCTGTGGAAGTGTTTAATTCCTACGTATTTATTCTTCACTTCTCCCTAGGCTATCGGCTTTTGTGTTAAGGAGTTTTATTCAAGCTCAGCCGTTCATAGATATTGATTCATCTATCCTGGAGACAACAGCTGCTTGGATTGTTAGACATCAGAAGCACAATGGGGAATTCCAGGAGCCTGGGAGAGTGCTGCATACTGAACTGCAAGGAGGAACTAACAGCTCTGTCTCTCTTACTGCTTATATTATGACTGCACTATTAGAGTACCAAACAGATAAGGTAGTTATAACCATAGAAGCCAACTCCTAGGAGCCGAGGTTCCTTTGGTGCCCCTAATAAAATACAGTGGTACCTCGGGTTAAGTATTTAATTCGTTCCGGAGTTCCATTCTTAACGTGAAACTGTTCTTAACCTGAAGCACCACTTTAGCTAATGGGGCCTCCTCCTGCTGCCGCGCCGTCGGAGCATGATTTCTGTTCTCATCCTGAAGCAAAGTTCTTAACCTGAGGTACTATTTCTGGGTTAGCGGAGTCTGTAACCTGAAGCGTATGTAACCTGAAGCGTATGTAACCCGAGGTACCACTGTATTTGAAGGGGCCAAGCCTCCCCAAAGTTGACGGGCATTGGTGAATGTGTCCATCAGACCAAAAAAGGTTGGTCAGTCCTGATTAAAGGAACAGCTAGACAAGGTCTTATCCACACTTACTTTTCCTTTGCTCTTTCCAGGCAGCGGTTCGCAATATAAAGCTCTGAGATTGAGCACCTCCTTTTTTTGTTCTGGAGCTTTCCCTGAGAAACCTGCTCTTTGAAGCTGATTTGGAGCAAGTGTTAATCTGTGGAAAACCTGAATTGATGATGCTCTAATTAAGCTTTAAAGAGGAGGCTTTTGTTGAGAAACCCCACTTGAAGGCAAAAGATAAGTGTGGATAAGCCCAAACTCTGTCCAACTTGGGCTTGCATGTTAAGAAGGATCTATTATATTTCTGTTAGACCAGGAATGGGTTTCTCTTCATTTTTATTTTCATTTATCTTCAAAATGCAATTTGCATTTCCCCTTTCATTGCATATTTTCTGTTGTGTGGTTTGCATGATCTGTGCTGGAGGTGGGCAAGGAGCTATACGAGGCACTGAAATCTCCCCATCTCCACTAAGCTTCATCTGGATCCTGAGATTTCAGGTCTTGCCCACACCCTTTCAAGCATCTTTTCAGCCATAAAGGCTAGAAACTTGCTGTTTTAAAAAAGAAAGCTAAGATTCTCAGGCCGCTGGATTATGTGATCAAGCCAACATTCTGTTTTTTTGTGGAATTACAGCATACACACAACCCTGACATTAATGTATGAAGATTGCAATTTAACATTTGCTTGGTTAAAGGGAGTTCATAGCTTATTTCATATTTTTCTTTCTGCAGTATGATTATGCTATAAGAAAAGCACTGGACTTTCTGGAATTTAAATTAAGTGAAGGCATATCAGATAATCATACGCTTGCCCTTGTGACTTATGCTTTATCGCTGGCAAAGAGTGCGGAAGCAAAGCGAGCTCTGGACCTACTGAATGAGAGATCAGAACATCAAGGTAATGTAAGACAGCTGAATTTACAATTGCAGATGGTACAACCACTATGGTAGTACAGGGTTCTCACACTTTCTAGCCCCAGGATCCATGTGACATAACTGAGGTCCACCAGTCACAAAATGGTGGTGCAGGGGCCAAACCAGTCACAAAATGGTGGCAGATGGAAGCAGAATTTGGCATGGGTATTTTTTCCTCACTTTTTAATTTCCTTCAACAGATTCTCTTCCTCTTTCCTGTCAGAGGAGGGAGATCTCCCTTCCCTTCCCTTCTCTTACCCCAAAAATCTCTATCTTCCAGCCATGGCACTTATTGTGGGGTGAGGCAGGCAAGTGAGGAGGCCCTGGCCAGGCTGAGGCCCACCTAAAAGTGGCTTGTGGTCCACTGGTGGATCCCAACCCACTGTCTGAGAAACACTGTGTTAGTATAAAGAAAGTGTCAATCAAACCTATAGAACCTGAGATACAGCATTATTCATAACCCTCACCAAGAAATCCCTAGTTTTAAAGGTGGTCACTGTTTTTAATTTTGAGAATATTAGGAATGCTTCTGGAACTTAATTTGAGCTTTGTAGGCTTCTCCTTGAATATACAAAAAGTGGATTACCGCCTTTCTTTTATTTGATAAGTCAATAAGTTTTTATTAATTTGCCCATGCATGCATCATACTCATTTTCAAGTGGCACCTGCAACAAAATGTTGCAGTGTGGAGTGTTCCTGTTCAGGATTCTAGCTAGGCAGCCATGCTCTTTTCAAAATAATTGATATTTGAAATGGTTGACTGTATGTGGATTTCAGACTATTATAGTTTCTTAGTTGTGAAAGGCTTATTATTATTATTGTCAGGGCCGCCTCAGGTCCCAGCTCACAAGAGACCAACGCCAAGTCCACTTTATTTACAAAAGTCTTTATTGAAGTACATTGTTTGTTCCACAGCCGAGGCGCGCAGCCCCACGTCTGTTACGCTTAGACCGCTGAAGTCCCCTCTGAATCAGTCCCGCCTCTACACCAGTTTAAGAGGCTTGTGCTAGTCCACCTCTTCCTGTCCTTCCTTTTCCGCAGGGTCTTTCTGCCCCCCTGGGTTCCTTCCCTCCTGCTTTCCCCTGACGCTGAGTCCCCAGACGCCTGCTCCCCCCTCCTCCGTGCTTTGGGACCAGGCTCCTCCTCCGGGCTCTCCGCATTTCCGCGCGCCTCCACATTTGAACTTGGCGCGCGTTCGCTACCCCTGACCTTCCTCTTGACAGTTATACTACTCTCTGTACTACTCTCCGCCCCTTCCGGCAGGACGTCTTGCCCCGATCTCCTTCCCCTGTCTGCTTCCTGCTCTGCTCCGTGTGTCACACTGGGAACTCCACCCTCTTCACTCCGTTCCGGCTGGGAAGCCGGCCCCGATCTCCCACTCCCACTCGGGGTTTCCCTGCTGCTCCCCTGCTCCTGACGAGTCCCCCCTGTGGCTCCCCTTGGCCTGACCAGGGGCGCCCCCTTTTGGGAATCCTCCGATTCACTTGAGAGACTCATGGAAGCCCTCAAGTCATTGTCATCCTCCTCCTCCTCGTTCCTGGATTCTTCCCCCTCGCTCTCAGTCTCCTCCCTCATCTGTGCCTCTCTCCCTGAACCCCTGACAATTATTATTATTATTATTATTATTATTATTATTATTATTATTATTTTGTTGCTGCTATGTGAAAAGTTTATTCTTCTTTTTCCAGAAGAACTCAGATTCTGGATATCACAAGCTTCTCAACTGTCTGATTCCTGGCAGCCTCAGTCTGTAGATATTGAGGTTGCAGGCTATGCTGTTTTGTCTCATGCTAAACAACAGAGATTATTAGAGGGGATCCCGATTATGAAGTGGTTAAGCCAGCAAAGAAACCACCTGGGAGGCTATTCTTCTACACAGGTTAGAGAGTCATCTTTACAAAATTTACTGTTGTTGTCTTTTCATAATTAATATTAGTCTTTTTTGTGGCTCCAGCCATGGAGTTTCTCTTTTAAACCTTAGACAGGAAACTTCGAAAAGCTCTGTTTTGAACTTGTGATAAATTAACTGCTTGGTAATTGGTTTCTAAATTGCAAGGAGTTCATTTGTTTTTGAGGATGAAAGGAAGAAATGCTTGATTCTTCAAGGGAGCCTGTCAGTACCTTCTATGCCAAAGCCACAGCCTGATTGCTAACAGGCCCAGAGCATTGTCTGTGGACAAATGTTGCAGCAAAGTAGGGTTTGATGTGACCAACACATGATTGGAGAATCCCACCTAGAGTTCTGTGACGAAAGAAAGGTGGGATAGAAGTGAAGTGAAATGAATTCATTACTGATGGGTATTTGCTACTTGGAAAAACCATTTATCAAATCATTAAAACCTAAGAAAACACTTAACAGATTGCTCTTTGATAATTAGAAGGCTTTCCAATTGGTCTCTTCCAGATCTTGGGAGTCTTCCATAAAAATGAGTGTGAGCAAGTGTGGCATAGTAGATAGAAAACTGAATTTGGATTGAATTCAAAACTGAGGTTAGGTCTGAGTGTACTCCATAAGGATGTTTGACCAATTACTTTATCTAGGATCATAGAATTGTAGAGTTGGAAGAGACCATAAGGGTCATCTAGTCCAGTCCTCTTTTACTCAACTGGGGCTTGAACCTACAACCCTGAGATTAAGAGTCTCATGCTCTACCAACTGAACCATCAATATTAGCAACAAACTGGCACAGCCCATTCCATGTTCCATGATTGTTCAGTGTTAGCATTCCAATTCCTGCAATTATTTTTATGCAGCAGTTTCGTTTCTCATGCTGGGCGTTGCCCTCCCTGTCCCTTTTCCTTATTAGAACTTTAAACTTTTGTATAAAGGTGACTTGTCAAGCATTTGTCATGCAACCATTATAGTTTTTAAAGATCAGGGCAAATACTGCCTGGTGCTCTGCCTAGCTTCTTTGGCCAGCAAGCAGAAGGAACAAGGAAGTCCACCACCCTGTTCAAGTATTCAGTCTGGGTGCCAGTGCATATGTGAAGAAGGGAGAAGGAAGATTGCATCTGCCAGCCTCATCTCCCATTCCTTGTGTCCATGGGTCCTATGAATAGGCTGGAACAGAACGCTGGCTGGCTGTAGCATTGGTCCAAGCTACATGTTTGGAGACTCAGAGACTCCTGTGTGTCTCAGCTCAAAGAGCAAAACAATCCAACTGTTAAGGCAGGCTGGAACCTACTTACTTTAGAGGCATCCGTATTAAACAATAATTTGTTCTTGCTTCTCTGTACAGGACACTATAGTGGCCCTGCAGGCTTTGAGTGCCTGTGCAATGCTTACTACTGGCATTGAAACAGAAATGGATGTAACAGTCAGTCCATCTAGTGAAAACGATCCAGTTGTGTTCAGAATTAATAATGAAAACCGCTTACTTCTCAAGACCAAAGAGGTACTGTAGTAAAGAAGCCCTTCTGTTTTCAGTACAGTGCATTCAGTTCATTGTGCTTTTTTGAACATGCTAATACTCACCATTGTTTTTAGGTTGCAGCTACACAGCCAGTGGGAGTTACAGTTTTTGCAAGCGGCCGTGGCTTGGGACTCTTCCAGGTATGTGATGTTGCTTTTGTGGAACTTCCTTTTCAGAAGGCTATTTGAACTAGAAACTACGTTCTGAGGTGGATTTAGGGGTGTGTGATTGGCTCACCCGCACTGGTCGCTGAGCTAACAGGGCGCCACAACAGTCATTTAGAACAGAAGGTGGGTGGGGGGTGCCAGATTTTGGCATTGCACAGGATGCCACTGAAATTTGAAAGCCCTAAGTCCACCATGGCTACTTTTAAGTTGGATTACATCTTCATTTTCAAAAGTGGACTCAACATTATGTGAACTAGGCCACTTACTAGAGTCCCTGTGACTTAATTAACTTGGATTTTTCCAGTGTGTTTTATCTGCTCCTTGTACTGGACTCTCTTAAAGCGCTCTATCATTCAATTATAACAATCATATGATAACTAGTAAGGCTGTCCATAACATAACGAATCTATGGCTTGGTTTTTAATTCCTGTGGGCAGATGACCTTCACCCAATGGAATTTTTCCATCCCTTCCCTCTTATGAGAGTGTTTGTGTTTGGCTACATTTATGTTTGGTATCTGCCACCATTTGTAGATGCTGCCAGAAGAGATAATGTTGTTTGTAGTTTGAAGGTGGCAAGAGTGCAGAATATAGGTTAGCGTAGAAATCCAATACCTTTATCACATACTTTTGTCTTTAATTCCCATAGAAGGTATTAAACTGAGTGCATAAATTACATGAATCACTTTCCATGATGACTTGAATTCTGTGCAACAAACAAACTAATCTGCAGCAGATAAACAGTAATCAGCCATTCATCAGCTGTAATTCAACACTGGCGGAAGTCGAAGAGTAAACTATATGTTATTCCTGTAAAATCTCAGTAAGAGACCAGAGCATTGTAAATTGGAATTATTCTGGTGTGTGCATTTTCATAAATGCTGTTTCTGATTACCATAAAGTTCAAATGTGTTTGAGAATAATTTCAGTTCCAGCAGTGGAGGCCAAGAATTCTGTCGGTATCACAGAAGGCAATTGCTTGCTCATCCATCATATTTGAAGGTAGTGGAGTTAGCAGGAATTGTTTCCAACAACAGTCAGACTGCTAAAAGTTAACAACAAATGCAAAATATCACAAGCTTCTTTTTAAATAATGAACCTATCAGACTAATTTTAAATCTAGAATTAATCAAACATAAGCATTCTGTTATGGGTTTAAATTTATTGCAACAATAAATTGACTTCAAGCACTAAGTACATAAGGGACGCGGGTGGCGCTGTGGGTTAAACCACAGAGCCTAGGGCTTGCCGATCAGAAGGTCGGTGGTTCGAATCCCCGCAACGGGATGAGCTCCCATTGCTCGGTCTCTGCTCCTGCCAACTAGCAGTTCGAAAGCACTAGCTGTTCGAAAGTGCAAGTAGATAAATAGGTACCGCTCTGGCGGGAAGGTAAACGGTGTTTCCGTGCACTGCTCTGGTTCGCCAGAAGTGGCTTAGTCATGCTGGCCACACAACCTGGAAGCTGTACGCCGGCTCCCTCGGCCAATAAAGCAAGATGAGCGCCGCAACCCCAGAGTCGGCCACAACTGGACCTAATGGTCAGGGGTCCCTTTACCCTTTACTAAGTGCATATGTACTTGTTTCCTAACAGTAACATTGATCCTATGCATATTTCCCCTTAAGATTTTTCCACTTGAACGAATGGAGTTTACACATAATTAATTGTGCATAGGATTGTCTTGTTACTTTTTAAGTGGCATTGGTTAGCATCACAAGTGGTAACCTTATGCTATTAGTGGGGCTTGACCCTTCCAGGCCTACATGGCTTATCCTCACCACTAGGTCATTAGAGACTCAGGAAATCTGGTACAGCTTGGCACTAACTTTTCCTTGACGAAGTAGGAGATTCCTGTAGCTGGGGGGCAGAGCAAGGCACATGGCTGGGAAGCCATTATTTCCACGACTATAGCAAAAACAGATTTCAAGCACGGGTCTTCCGTGATACAGTTCCAAGACCCTGCACTTTCTCGTCTGTAGTTTGGCAAAGCAAAAGAAATAAAGACTTCTGGAATAATTTCATCCAATACAGTTTGGGTTTGCTGGAACCACCTCCTTTCTTTCCTTTTACTTGGCAGAAATCCTGCCAAAAGAAAAAGAACTGTGATACCCTTCAAAGGGTTATTTCCCCCCGCCACTTCAGCCCACAAGCTAGATCTGCTTTTCATCTGCGATATGAAATCGCATGTGATTATTACCATCTTTCTTTCTTTTTTGCTATATTAATTCCCCTATCCTGTGAGCCATTGCTGCAAAGCAGCAGCTCATATGTTCTGGCATACGCATCCCAACCCTGGTGTGGCAGAACAATTTGTCCCCTCCTGTTGAAGCTCAGGCCAAGGGCTACCACAGCTGCTCCCAATGGCACTTCTGTGCCGGTGCCCTTGCATGGCACAGCTATTCTGCACAAGGAGCTTGTGGAAGGTTGGGTGGGGCTTGGCAGAGGGCTTGACGATACTCTTCCAGAGGCATCCTGCAGATTGCTCCTCACTTCCAGAGCCCTTAAACGTGACACAGCCTAGTTTTCTTCTTTAAATAACAGCAAAATGAGTAATAGGAGGATATCTTCGTCCTACTCACCACATGCAGGAAACATTTCTATCCTGTTAAAAGGCTCTGGGTTGTAAAAACTCTTTTTTGTACTTAAGGCTGCGCAGCTGTGCAGCAGCTAACCAAAGGAGTCGTCTGATAGCAAATAAGAGTTTGATGAGGAAGCATGATAGTGGCCAGCCACATTTGGTAACTGGTGCAGGTCCTCTGTTGGCAGGTCTTCACAAGATGCTGCTCACCAACAAAATGCAGATTGCCAACCATGTGTAGCCAACTTGTTAAAGCGATCAGTAATCCCCCCCCCCGATGTTGTGCCTGTTTGGAACTGCAGAAACAGTGGGACTGGGTTGGGAGGTACCTGGGAGGCCCCATTACAAGTTTTTTCCCTCCATTCAGTTCTGTGGAGACCTTCTGGTGATTGATTATTGCCTCTCTCTTTGCAATTCTAATAACACAGGCCTGATTTTTAGGAGATCTGTCTATTCCTAAGTATCTTATATCCATCTGAGTATTATTATTTTTTTCCGTACCAGGTGTCCCAGCATCTTTATTGCCTTCTGGTCAGCCTGTTTGAAACTTTATTTATCTTGGATTAAAAAAAAAATCAAAATCAAAGGCATAGTTGTTATGCTTTTTGTGTCTACTGTTGATAAACTTACGCAGCAAGCTTTCCTGTTGGCTGGAAGAAAGCATCCTTAATTAAACTCTTCACTGTGAAATGGGCTGATCTAGCTGAAACCTCTGGCAATGTCATGCCTGACTTCCAGAAGCCCTTTCTTTTGTTTTGGATACTAACATCTGTTCCATGCATATACCTGCAGCAAAGTGAGGGATCCAAATTGGTTTTAATTAATGTGCCTTGTTGTTTTAGTCAAGATGGACATGCTTATTTGGGGTTGCATCCAGCAAAGCTGTCCAGTTCACACAAGAACATCTGCTTGTGCAGCAAAACTTCTCCTCCCTCTTCTCTTCTTTCCTCCATGTGCCCCCCAAATTGGTTATGGGGATTCCCCCGACCTTCTGCAGCTGACTTGTGCTTTCACAAGCAGAAGTTTTTGCATTAACAGAACAGCCTTGTTGGATGCAACTCCATGAAATTAGGGTTTTAACTCTGCTTAACCAAATAAAATATATTTTGGACTTCTTAACACACTGGACAGGGCTCCCTTGGGATAATACCCATCTGGTTTTATGAGGTTGTTTATGACCCATTTTTACAGGTGCTTGCATTTGTTGTTTTTTTACGCAAGTTAGGCTGCATGCACAGTTACCTGAGACTTAGCCCCATTAGTCTTACTTTTGAGTAGACACGTGCTGGATTGTGCTGTTAGTTTAACATTCCATTTCCTTCCTCAACACTCAATTTAACAGCCAAATAAAATACTTTGGAGAAGAAACTCCTGCTGAAGATAACCCTTTAGCATATACCTCCATCCAGACATCTGTTTGCTATGATCAGAGGCTTAAGAATAAACATAGGAAAGCAAAGGATTCCTGGACTGGTAGGAGATTTTTCCAAATACTTGACACATTTCAGATGGAATATTGCAGGGACTGCCGCCAGATTTTTTTAAAAAAAGCTTAATAAGGCTGCCAGTGACTGGCGTTGAAGATTTCTCTGTTGCTGTCAGTAGTTGCTGGAGTGCAGTTTGTCCTGCTATTTCATTAGTGTGCTAGGAGCTGCTGTGCTTCCTGGAAGGAACAGGAGCCTCTTGGGGGTCAGAAGTTGGTAAGCTTAGTTACACCAAGTGTTACAAACACTGAATTCCAGCTCTCCGTCAGTGTTCCTGGATAGTCCCTTTCAGTGTGCTGTTTTGCCACAGCAGCTTCCTATTTATTTTGGCAATTTTTATTTTCTTTTAGCTAAACCAGTAGTGTGGATCTAGAGATGATCCAGGAGTCTAGAATGTATTTTGCCCCACAGCCAGAACATGACTTTTGCCAAGCAGGACTGCTGGCCTTTCCACACAATTAAACAAAAGAGTGTCCCCAGCCATCCTGATCCAGCTACAGTTTGCAATGTCCCCCATCTGTATATAAAGATATGAGGAACTTTGCTTCAGACTACGCTGCTCTTTCTCCGCCTTCTTAAACCTAGTGGGTTGTGTGCTCCAGCACAGGGGATAGAGAACTCCCAACCTTAAAGATTAAAAAAATCCCCAAAACCTAAAGTTTACATAATGGGGGAGGCGGGCCAATTTGGGTTTTGCCACTTAAAGAAAAGTGTCAGGATGAGCATGCCAGTGTTCAGGTTAGGCAGCTGGAAACACTCAACAGTCTAATAATTTCAAACAAATAAAAACCTTAACTAGGAAGATCACAAAATAGTACAGACATGAATTCAGTTATTGAGACGTGAGCATTATCTAGTAAATGCCCAGACACTCACACTTACATCCAGTTACAAAAAACAATGCCTGCACAATCTGGAGAAACTATTACATTTTCCCAGATACAAAACATTGTATATTTAAGTGCTTGTAAAGTACATTTGCCCTAGAACAGAAGTGCAATCTTAAGGGAAGATGGTTTGTTCCCAGAAAATGTGTAGCAAATGTTCGCATATTGTACAAAAGGTCTGCAAGACCTGAATTAGTTTTGCCGTCCTCACAAACCCCAGTGTTGACAGCTGTGGGTACCAGCCTAGGTGTAAGTCACTTGTGTGTGTGAATTGTGAAGGGCTGGCTGTACACTGGATGCATCTCTGTCTTCTAAACCTTCAAAATGATGTGCCCTACAAAATGAGTCAGTAAATGCTCTTTGCGTGTGGTATGAAATCTTGCTTTGCACCCTATGCAGCAGAGAAGGAAGGAGTTTTCCCATTCCTGAGTGGATACTGTAGTCAGGTAAATCATATTCAGTCACTCCTCTGTGAGCCTTTCTTTCTCTGTGGGCTTTTCTTTGTCCAGTACCAAGAAGGAATGGAAGATTAAACATGAAGCTTCTTTCAATTAAATGTGTCCTTAAGGGGTCATTCAGTATATTGTTTCAGATGTTCCTGTGCTGCTGGTAAATTCTTCCCCGTTTGCTTCTCTTGGCAAATACTAAAACAACAGCTTTTGGGTGTTGACAAATTGCTGATTTGCTTCCAGCTTGATTTGACCAAATTCACAATGTGCCTCCAATAAGGAGAAAGCATGTTCAACTTTTTTTATTCTTTTGGGATCCTGATGGGCTTCTTTTGAGGCCTTAGGACTGGATGTTTTCATTCAGAAACAGTGATGTGTTTTACCTTCCTTGCTTTTTGGGGGGGGCGGGTCTTTTTATATTACAGCAGTTCTGTATTTAGTTTTCTAAACTCTGAGAGGACCTAAACTAAGGGACTACCTACATATTATATGCTAATGTATGCAGCAGTGCCACAAGTAACAATTTTGTTTTTTGAAGAGGGAACTATGCCTTGTTCCATAGCACCCTTCCCCTCCAATTTTATCTCTGTAGGTTTCTAAATGCTTTTACAAACCTGCATTTTGAACCTCATGAGAAGAGGAAACTGACAGACATAGATTAATTAGGGGCTGTTCCACACTTTGGCTTGTTCCATGCTTAGAAAGCATGGGTTCGAGGGGTTTTCCCCTTGCCCATCTCCTTTCCAAGGGAAATCCAGCTGTTTAGCAATAGATCCGAACAATAGATCCGAAAACCCAAATTGCTGTTTGCTCCGATTGAATGCTAAAGAGTGATTTTGCCTGGGGGAAAGCAGTGGGACAAGAGGAAGTGTGGCTAAGCCCTTAGTCAAGTACCCCACCTTCTCTGGTTGCTTCTCTTGCTTGCCTCCTACCCACATGATCTCTCTACATTGGGTAAAACAAAGGAAGATCGAGTTGCTTTTATATAAAGCAGGGAGTAGAGAAAATGATCTGGGAAAAGAAACTAATGGAGAGTAAATATTTATCTGTTGTAGTCTCTTGCTATGCATGTAATTGATATTTTCCCTTGAAGGGGGTTAATGGAATGGAATACTTTTATTTGCAGCATATGTACTGTGTATATGTTTAGTACCATATATTAATCCTTCAATAACACTTGATTCCTAAGGTGACTAGTATTTACATTAGTAAATAACACTTAAGATTTTACTGTGGACGGGTTCGTGTTTTGGAAGCAACCTTTATTTTGGGATGGTTTCATGTTTACTCTGTTTTGCAATATAAGAGAGAGATAAGGAGTTTTTTTGGGGGGCAGGTAGTCAAATGACCTATGCTATATTATAAACTTGTTGTTTTAATGAATTTCTTCTGAGTTTCATTCCTGGGAAATCAGTTCCAACTTTTCTTTAATACAGTGGTGGAAAACCAGCCTGTGGGCCTAATTAGGCCCAACAAACTCTAAATTTGGCATGTGAAGCCATTTTGGACAAACCACACACACCTGTCAGTTACCTGAAGCTGTATGTCATGAGGTGTAGAGATTTGCTATCTATGATCTAAGTGTTATGATTACCAATAAAGGATCTCTGATAGCACCACAGTTGTAAGATGCCCTAACTGTCACCCTTGCTCAATGTCTGGGTGAGCTGATAGGAAATTTAGTAATAAAATTAAAATAAAGAGTCAAGAGCCTATGTTTTTGCATGCAGAAGTGTTTTTCTGCTAAAGTATTCTGTCTAATTATTAAATAAAATGATATTTGCATCACTAGCATATTTTCAAGTACAGAAGTACCTTTTCTTTGTTTATGCCACTTTCAATGGTTGACACGGCAGCTTGCAATGCCTTTGGATTCATACAAGTTACACCCCTATCCGTCCTTAATGGCAGCATAATGTTAATGGCAGCATGCTCATGGGATTTCAAAATTTGCTTGCATTAGCCTGGCAGTTTTGCTTCTCTTACATTCTGGATTGACTCAAATTATTCTATAGTGAATGTTGATGCTGAAACTGTATCACAACTATAAAGATTTCAGGATCTAGAATCTAGACTGCCCTATTCTTACCTCTCTTCAAGAGCTCTTTCATAGTCCTGCAGTTTGATCTCAGATGTTTGCATTATATCACTTATATACACACCAGTAATTTCACGTTTGATGTTTCCACTCTTGTAGCTCAATATTATGTACAATGTGAAAAATTCACATACCAGTAGGCGGCGTAGATCTGCACAAAGTCAGGAAGCCTTTGATTTGGATGTTGTCGTAAAGGATGACAAAAACGATATAAATCATTTAACGCTGAACGTTTGCACCAGGTAAGTATATATGTGAAACTACCACTCCTCCCCTTTTATTTACAGAATTCTAATAATATTTGGACAGGGCAATTTTATTTTTTTTACACATACATGAATAGCTCAAGGGAGCAAAGATTGCATGTATATAAAGCAAAAATATCAGGAATAGCAGATTTGAACAGATGATCATTTTTACAGAACAGTTCTGAGTAAACATGCTTTGTATTAGGTCTCAAGTCTTCACAATGCCAGTAAAATTTGTTTCCTTTTTTACATAGCAATTCATTAGCTTGCTTTTCTTCCATTGAGGTCTGTGCATTTAAACTAGCTGATTTTAAATGGGTGCTCACCCGTTTTGCTTTGGTTCCACAAGGGCATCCCCAGCGATCTTCAAGGAGTCTCCCTACTTAGGTTGCTAGCCAGCTAGCCAAGTCATTTTTCAGGATACTCCATTCCACCCTCCACTCCCCCACGTTTTCTGCTTTTCTTTTTCAACTGATCTTCAACATCCTGTGGTTACTGATCCTGTTCAGATTTCATCGACCTCTTTGTGGTTTTATTCTTTGCCCCCCCCCTTTAGTTTTTTTTTATTTTAAAAAAATATTTATTGTACTTATTTAAACCTTGGGGTTCCTCCTAGCATTCTGATGCATTCCTCTTGGACTTTATTTTTCTACAATAGTTCTGTAGAAAACAATTATACCTTGATGGCAATGACCAGAGCTCTCTTCCTATTTGCAGTTACAACACAGACATAATTACATCCAGTTCCAATTCAGTTATTTGTTTTCAATAGCAGCTACTTTGGCCTGGCGACTCATCCCACAGATGGTTTTGTTTCCTTTTAATCTCACGAGCCAGCCTCAGCCAGCAGTTGTACTGAATTTCTTTCAAAGCCATATCTGTATTTAATCATCACTGCTGCCAGGCCTGAGAGCATTGCTTTGAAAAGTGAGTCTTCCTCTCTTGCAAATTGTCCCCATATAAAAAGAAATGCAGTTTTATTAAATTACTTTTAACTACTGTCAGGCATTCAAAATACAGATTGGAGACACACTCTTTTTCCAAGAGAACAGTGGTGGTTTACTGTCTCTGCCAAGCAAAATCCTTCTGCCACCTATTTGAAGAACTCCCCTCATGAAAAGGTACTTAAGTGTTACCTCATATAAAATAAAAAGCCACAAACATGTTTTCATAGCCTAGTTGAGAGTTAGCATTATTATGTGACTTGCAGGCATCTACTATATTGTGTGATTATCTGGACGAAGGTGCTTTCATGAGCACTTCTGGGAGGCAAAAAAAGAAGGGGGGTATTATCCCAGAGGCTCCATTACATAAATTAGTTATATAGGCTGCAATCCTATATCCACATACCTGGGAATAAGCTCCATTGAACTCAGTCAAATTACTTATGATATGTAGTGAATTGTGTTGTTATTTAAATCCCATGCATTATTTTAGGTGCTACAGACCATCAACTAGTTAAGTGTTCTGCAGATTTACCTATGCTTGAATAACAGGTTAATCAACTAGAAACTTAATACTACAAAATGTTGGAAAGCATCCAGACAATCAGCAAGCTCTTTATTTTCCCATCACATTTGTGGTGAATGAAGTGGAACTCAGGTGACAGAAGGGGTCCATCGGTCAGTAGACTCTGCAGCTACTGCTTGCTTAGACGAGCTAAATTAGTTTGGTTTTGCAGCAGTCAGTTTTCCAATAACTTTATTCTGCTTGATTCTAACTGCCAAGTGGACACAATCCATCAAAAGGTTGTGACTAGGCCCATTGAATGCAAAGGAATGGGACTTACTAACTTTGCCATGTTTTATTTTAGTGGGAGTTTGTTGTATTTTGCTGCACTGCTGTCAGTTCTTGCTGGAAAAAACTGATTCCCTTCTTGTTCACTCCCAGGGTGTTCTTGTCTCCACATCATATCTTTTACTGGCCTATGCGCTTCTTAAAACCATCTTCTTGCCATTTCCACCTCTCCTCAGTTACATCCCCGCTTCTTAGGGTGATTCCAAGAAGCAGCAGACAGCAAAGGAAATAGTTATTTCCAAGTTGTGGCTGGGGAGCTATCTGGATCAAATTAATTAACTAACTGACGAATGCATGTCCTTAATAATATTTTCCAAATTGAGAAAGATGAATTTTACATACAAGTGCTTAGCAATTTTCTTTGTAAATTATTGCCATGCTGTGTTTCCTAATCGGCACCCCTGGATTTTAATTAAGGGTTAGGATAATTAGAACAACCAAAAGTGAAATGCATTTTTAAAACTTTCCAGTTAGATTACATTGGGGATTTAATGCCCAATTCTTGGTCATAATTTTGTTGGTTCACCTACCAGATAATTGGGGGCTAGTTCACACACTTGTATGAACTGAATTCCTCTATTTAGATGGTGGAGATGTGCAAATATTTGCTATACACTGTTGCTACATTTATTTTGTGAGTGTGTATTCATCCATTCATTCTATGTAATGGTCGCTATTCAAACACAAAATAATGCCCCAAATCCACTTAGAGCATAAAAGAAATTAAAACCCCATATAAAATAACAATAGAACACAATACCTATACATATCCATCTAAGAACGTTTATAAAAGAACAAATCCTACCCATCTCCTTAAAAGAAGAAGGCAGGCTAAAAGTAGAACTCACTGCCCTCCCAATTAAGAGCCACAGGCATGGATAAACAGGAGTGTTTTAGCTTGGTGCCTAAAAGCCAACAATGATGGTACCAGGCAGACTTTCCTGGGGAAAGCATTCCATAAGTAGGGAGCCACCACTGAGAAGGCTCGTCGCCACCTTCTGCATCTTCCTTGGAGGAAGCACACAGAAGGGCCTCTTCTGACGAAGCAGTGTCTGAGTAGGTTGGGGAGAGGTGGTGCTTGAGGTATTGGTGTCCTGAAGTCAAAAAAAGCACTTTGACTCAAGCCTGAAAACTAATTGATAGCTAATGCAATTGTGCCAGAATTGGTTTCATAGGCTCAGATCAGCAATCTTGCTGCTGAATTTTGCATTAGCTGCAGTTTAAAGGCAGCCTCATATATAACACATTGTAATAATTTGATCCAGAGCTTTGTCAACAGAGGTTAGGCTATCCCGGTGCCCCAAGGCCACTTGTGCCCCAAGCCACAGTAATGGTTCCAGAAATACCGTATTTTTCCCTCTATAACACGCAGATTTTTTCTCCTAAAAAGGAAGGGGAAATGTCTGTGCGTGTTATAGAGCGAATGTGTGGTCCCTGGAGCCAAAAAATCAAGCAAAAGTCAAATCGTGAGTCACGGAGAAGGGAAACCTGAAAAGAGGAAGTGGCAGCTTTCCTGCATTCTGCCTCAGGGTCTTACTGCCCACCCGTCGTTGCTGTGTTTGCTGAAATGGAACAAAGAGCAGGGAAATCCCCTCCCCTCCAGGCAAGCAGAGTGTCGTTCTTTCTAATTCCTCTCTGTGCTCCGGTGCTGCTGGGGGAGAAGGAAAGCCCCTCCCCTCCAGGCAAGCAGAGTGTCGTTCTTTCTAATTCCTCTCTGTGCTCCGGTGCTGCTGGGGGAGAAGGAAAGCCCCTCCCCTCCAGGCAAGCAGAGTGTCGTTCTTTCTAATTCCTCTCTGTGCTCCGGTGCTGCTGGGGGAGAGGGAGAGAGAGTGGGGGAGGGAGAGGGAGAGGGGGGGAGGGAGAGGGAGAGGGGGGGAGGGAGAGAGAGAGAGAGAGAGAGAGAGAGAGAGATGGCTGGCTTGGGGGGGAACTTTTGCCTTTCTTTCCTCCCACCCTTTAAATCCCTCTCCAGCATTCTTAGCCAGCTGCTTCTCTGCACACCCCTCTCATGTCCCTTCTTTGTTTTTCCTTCGCTCCCCACTTAAAATGTGGTTACAAAGCATAGATCAACATGGATCCTCAGGATCTTTGCACTGGGTCACCCCAAATTCACCATCAGATCACATAGCATGTCCATGGCTACAGCCTGCACCAAAAAAATCACGCACCCACTGTTGCCTGGGGCTGCAATGGTGCAAAAACGTGGTTAAAAAGCATGGATCCACATGGATCCTCAGGATCTTTGCATTGGGTCACCCCAAATTCACCATCAGATCACATAGCATGTCCATGGCTACAGCCTGCACCAAAAAAATCACGCACCCACTGTTGCCTGGGGCTGCAATGGTGCAAAAACGTGGTTACAAAGCATGGATCCACAAGAATTCTCAGGATTTTTGCATTGGGTCACCCCAAATTCACCATCAGATCACATGTCTGTGGCCACAGCATGAAGCACAAAAATGATACATCCACTGTTTCATTCAGAATGTTTTTCCCCTTGTTTTCCTCCTCTAAAAACGATGTGCGTGTTATGGTCAGGTGCGTGTTATAGAGCGAAAAATACGGTATCCCCACATTGCTTCTTCAGAGAGAGTATAACCCCATTCAGAATAATGTGTGTGTACATGTCATCAGAAGACAGGAGTGCCTGGCGTGCTCTGGTCCATGGGTTCACAAAGAGTCGGACACGACTAAACGACTAAACAAACAACACATGTCATCAACATAATCCTTCCCTTTAAAAGGGTGGAAAGACATTCAAATCACATGCAGGTTCTGTCCCATTGTAGATAGATTATACTTGTAGACATTGTTGGGGTGGATGAAAAGTCACATTCCTCCATGGGTTCATACACCATCCATGCAAATGGAGCTGCCTATTCAGTTAAGCATATGAAGTGACCCATACTTTTACATGGAGTATTTACAATAGAATGTTTGAGAAAGTTTATATCTATGTAAACTATTCTGTTCCCTTTTTTGTTTGTTAGGTATTTGGGTGTTGGCTCATCTTCAAGGAGTGGCATGGCCCTCATAGAGGTTGGATTACTGAGCGGCTTCTCTCTGTCACCCAGTTTTGTGTCATTAGATGATCCAGTTAAGAAAGTGGAGAAGGCGGAAGGCAAAGTCCATTTATATTTGGACTCCGTAAGTCAAAATACTGGATGAGGGTTTAATTAATTAAAAATTTTTTTACTACCCCCTGCCCTTTAAATTCAGATATCACATTTTTACGAAGTTTAAACAAAAAATTAATAAATTTAACTTTCTGGAACTGATAAAACAGGGCAATATTATCATAGGGCATGCACTACTTTCTCCAAAGTAGGGTTTTGGTTAAAGCTGTATACTTGGAATACTATTTTGTTTTAAAGACATGTTTGTTGTATATGACCTTTTAGTGTTCAGTGAAACAACAGTATTAAGCACATGAAATATGGATTCATACGGTGTTCCTAGTGTGCACTCTTTGCACAAGGTGTGGAAGGAGCAGCAATTAATGGGGTTGTGTGTCTCTGCCCCCAAATATGGTACATTTTTTTCCTGGACTAGCACTAATGTTTGTATATGAGTTCATATATGAGTCTGCTCCAGCAGTCTAATCTGCCCACTCCTACTGGCCGATGAAAGATCCACACTGCCAGGATGTGTTCAGCTATATGTGTTGGTTAATGCAAAGTGTTCTGTGTACAAAGAGGAATGCATTGCACATTGGGGCAAAAGAACCCATACTTTCACATTTACGTTTATGTGGTTTGATCTGGAGGTGACTGGTCAGGAAAGAGATGTAGGCATCATGGTGGATAGTTTGATAAAAATGTTGACCTAGTGTGTGGCTGCTTTGAAAAAAAGTGAATTTCATGTTAGACGGATCATTAGGAAAGGGGCTGAAAATAAAACTATATATTTTTACTCTTGGAATTCTGAGTTCAGTTCTGGTTGCTACATCTTAAAAAGAGTATTGTAGGGTTGTGGGGGTGTGTGTCATAAAAGTGTAACCAAAATGATAATGAAGCGGGAACAATTCTGCTATGAAGAAAGGCTTTTGAGTTCAGATATGTAAGATGGGACATGATAGTTGTATATACAATTATGTGTGTTTTGGATAAAGCGAATAGAGAGAAATCCCTCCCCCACTTCTCATAATACTGGGCTCTTCCAATGAAGCTGAATGTTGGAAGGTTTAGGACAGGCAAGCAGGAAGTGCTTCTATGCAAACCACATTTGTAGCCACTGAGAGAACAGGATGCTGCACTAGAGGAGTCTTCATTCTGATCCAGCAGAACCAGTTAATGTTGCTATATTTTAATAACAAGAAGTTAGGACATTAATTCATCTGGTCAGCTACATGCCTTTACCCTAGGAGTATATAAAAAGTCTTTGAAAGTTTTCTTTCTTTTTACTTTTTAGTTAAATGAAACACAGGTTTGTGTAGACATTCCAGCTGTGAGAGACTTCAAAGTGGCAAATACCCAGGATGCCTCTGTGACTGTGGTGGATTATTATGAACCCAGTAAGTGCCAATTGTTTTTGACATATCTCATATTCAGTGCTGGAATAAGCAGTTGTAGTTAGTTAAAGTGAAGAATTGACTCCTTTAAGCTTGAAAAGAACCATATTAAATGGAAAATACCCTAGTATCAAATACCACGGGGGGGGGGGGAATGAACAAACAAATTCTTCCAGAATGTAGTTTGGTGAATTTCTTACAGGATAAACACCGTGAGGTGAGGTGGGCAGGAACAATTGCTCTTGGATCCTTAGTTAAATTATCTTTTAGGAATTTAAGGGAAGAAAGTTTCCCATCCCCTCCTCCCCCAGCACCTGCTGAAAATCTTATTGGGAGGGCCCTCCAAAACAGTGAGGCATGGGGAGCTGCTGAGAAAAGGATGATAAACTTCATTTCCATGAACCTCCTTAAGTTAACTTACATTTGGATCAAGGCCTAATTTTGAGCAATTCCCCCAGGACTGCTGTTGTTTGGAAAGTCCTAACCCCACAGAGAAACACTTTGGACATTTGGAGGGACACACATAGTTGGGATGGGATAGGAAACCCTCCTTCTGTGAACTTCTTTAAGTTAACGTATCGTAGGATGCTTTGCTTCTAAGATGCAGTGTTTTGCTTCTGCTTAGTTCTGTAGCCTGAATTAGTGCCATAGCAAAATATTTTGAACTTCATTGCAGAACACACATCATTTAGGGCCCCTTGGCTTTCTCAAGACAAAGTCAAATGGATTCACTTCACATTGTGGATTTTAGTGGTCTGATTTCCATGAAAGCTGTGTAGCTTTTCAGACATTCTCTTCAGCTTTATGCAAATATATCTCACCAAAATGTCTTAAGTATGATTTGTAGTGAATGGTACTCCTCCAATCTCGCACAACAGGGAGAAGAGCAGTGAGAAGCTACAACTCCGAAGTGATGCAGAGTTTGTCACCATGCACCTTCTGTGAAAAGGATGAATGTGATCTTTGTTTAGCGGATGGCTCTTCATTAATTTACCTCTCTTGTGAACTGTTAATAGTACATGTAAGCCTGTTGTATAGTTGGTTGCTCTAATGTGGGCATCTTACCCATGTTGCACTTCTAAGAGTATTATTGATCTCGCCATCCTACACAAGGGAAATCAGGATGGGGAAGTTCCTCACTTCCACTCATTGGAGGCAGAGACCTGATAGGAAAAGGGGATGAGTTCTAATTTGGAGAACTGAGATTGGGCCCTGTGACAGCTATCAGTTTATTTTATTTTATTTTTAAAAACACACTGATAGGTCTAGAACTCTTGCAGGAACTTGCCATCTCCAAATGATTATCAGGAAGAGCCAGACTTCTCCCCAGAGAGTCTGTCTGAAATGATTATTCCAGGTCAGAGCCAAATGTTCTCCTGCACCCATTAAAGTTCAGGGATTAACTGCATATTCCTATCAATGTAAACTTAGAAATAATTCCCATTGAGTTCAATGGGGGTTACTTCTAGGTAAGTTTGTATAGTATTGCAGTCCAGACTTCTGTATCCAGAGACAGAAGGATCAAATATAAGTGCTAAATTTCTGGATGTGGCTCAGTAACATTAAGAACTTAAAACATGTAAACGTTAATGTTCATTTTCTAAATAAATATTTAAATGAGATCAGATTTATTTGGAGGAAAAAAATTGGGAGTATATAGTTCTTTATTTGTACATTAAAAATAAGATGTGTTTTTTTTAAAAAAAAGTTTTAGAAAATATATCATTATCTAAAGCCTCACATTCCTTTTAGTTCAGCTTTTGCCAACCTGGTGCCCTCCAGATGTTGTGGATTACAATTCCCATCAGATCCAGACGGCACAGGCATGCTGGCTAGGACTAGTAGGAGTTGTGGTCCAAAACATCTGGAAAGCACTGGATTGACAAAAACAGTTTAGATTATGACACATTTTATTCTAACATTTAATTTGCAAGTATTGCTGACTTTAATGGCACAGGGTCAAGTCCTAGCTACAGATGCAAGAGCCCTATTCTCTTTAGCACCTTTTAAACAGTTGCGTAGAAGGGAGAATTTCCAGCAGATAGGGGGCACAACAAGCTAGGCTTGCCGAAATCCCCTCTTCTACACAATACTGAATAACGGCACAAACAAAGCAAACTGAGGTGGTTTCTAAACAGCTACATTCATGCAGTCACAAAATGAAAAATGCTAAATTTTATTCAAGACAACTTGTACCAGAAAAAAGGTATCTGGTTATTGCTATTATTATTATTATTATTAAATGCAAGTGTGTGAAAAGCAGGCATCTTAAAGTTGAAGGCATCTGTTTTTCTCATGCACCTCGGTCTGAAATGTGATGTTGAGTTTACAGTAGAAAATAAATTACTTGCCTTATTTCTTGCTGGGCAGTAAAACAGGAGCTGAATTGGCTGCCTCCCAACTTAAGACAGCATGAAGCATCAGCTTACCCACACAGTGCCATGGGGAAGAGGCATTAGGAACTGTTGAATTGCATGGTGGGCTCTTCTGGCCCATAGGAATTTGAATACCTCAGTGGTAGGAATGCTACCATAGTTTTTAAAGCAACAGTAACAGAACCCCCCTGAAAAACGCCTTGCAAAGCAAGAGAAGATCCTCAGAAAGGAAGGAAACATGGTATAGGCTAAGATGGAGCCTAGAGTAGGCCTTTTTTCACTCAAGGTCAGGGTGGACAAGAAAAGCCAGATGAGAGGTTAAAAGTAGCAGTGTTCTTCATAATCTGGCTCTTATCTAAACTGCAATCATTGCTATTTGCAAAAAGGTATAGGACAAACTACAACTAGTACATAGTCCTAGATGAATATCACCAATATTCACAATTTTGCAAAAATTCAAATTTTTGCCCAGTTTCCAGAGTGAAATTGAGTTTGAAATTTGAATTTACATTTACATTTTGAATGTTAAATCTTACCTCAACACTTAAGTGCTCTAGTCTTGTTGGCATATACTGGTTGTTTTGACTTTGGCAGCCATCAACTATGAAATCTGATAAGTTGTAAACTATATAATACTCAATACCATTGCATGTCATTTATAAAATGTCAAATATATTGCACACCAACTATCAAAAATTCTTAGATAGCATTTGCCAACAAAATAACTAGCATTCAAATTATATTTTGTGACAAATAATCCTATGCATATTTACATGGAAGCAAGTGTCATTGAGTTCATTGGGGCATGTTTCCAGGTAAATGCATAGGGTTGCAGCCTTAAAAACCTTTTTATTTGAGCGAGACAGGTAAGCGCATGTTTTAAGAAGTGTTTAAGTCTTTGTTCATTTGAAAGGGAGAGCTTTAAACAGATGCTTAACTTTGGCTGATTGCTAATTGTTAATGCTGCCGTTTCTCTTTCATTTAGATAACTAATTCTTATTCCCTACGCATGTATGTTTTGTCCAAACTTTGCAATGTCTTGATTATATATTTTTCTACTATGCAATGATGTATACATTTTAAGATTCTTAGTTTGTGGTATCGCTGCAGTTTTCTTTGCTGGGATTTCTAAAATATTTTACTGACTTTTCAAGTGAAAATGCAAAACAACCATATGGTGTTAAATTTCTGGCTGGGCCATCTTATATAGCCTACCTGTACTTTCCACTGAATCTAGAAGTCATTGCAATTACTTCATTAAATGGCAACATTTTTCTGTTTTGGATTAGATGGTTCTCGATTTACTAATGGACAGTAGCGGGTGAGGTTTCAATAATCCAGCAAAAGCAATGTTTGTATTGAAGCAAGGTCACAAATTTGGGGACAATTTGTCAATCTGGCAAAGGCAATGTATGCATGGGAACAAGCTTCTGTGTTTCATCTTTTGCTACTGTGAGCCCAGCATTCAGAACTGTGTGTGCGGATTTTGGATTCAGAATTTGGTTCTGCCAAATAGCCAGGCAGTATTATCACTGTGTTGAAAAGAAAAATCATATAAAGTTTTCAAATACAAAGCTACTATATTTGTTGATTACGGGAAAATCTTTGTCTGTAGTAAAAATCACGGAATAGCACACTGTACATGGAAGCTAGATTTTAAGTACCTGAACTGAGAATCACTCTCCTTGGTCGCAGAAGCTTTAGCAAACGGCCCATAGCTTTAGGTCACTCTTAAGGTTATAAGCCCACTTTGTCATAAAAGCCTGATGCAAACATTCATGGAAAACTATTGTTTCAAGCAAACCACTTAAGAAAAAAGTTATGCTCTTGAGGAACAGTCCAGCATCACTTTTCCAATGCAATTTTCAAGACAGTTTATAACACAGATTAAAATAGGAAATACTCAGAATAAAATTGCAAGATAAAATACTGGCAAGAGATCATAAGACAGTAGATGGAAACCAAGAAGTTTAAAATGACAACAGGCCAGTTTGGCAGGCCAGTTCTTGCAAAATGGCAAACATTTTTGTGAGGTGGCGCAAGGCCATTGTGCAGGTCTCCTTCAGAACCGAGTTCCACAGCCCTCAGTGTGGCTACAGGACAACTCCCTTCTGCATCCCAGCTAAGCACTCTTCAGATGGAAAGAAAGCAGAGTCTCTCCAGTAGATCTTAATGAGTGAGCAGGTTCACATGGGAGAAGACAATCCTTTAGATATCCCGATCCTAGGTGGATTAGGGTCTTAAATCCTATCTGCTGCTTCACCTGCTACTCATATTAGTTGCTCAAAACTGAGTAGGTAATGAGAGATATATGCAAGTGAATTCTTTGAACTGAACAAGGGACTACAGGCCCAATTTGCATCTAAGCACAGAATATAATGAGCATCCATCTGGGCTATTGCAGAAAAGCTGTATCGTGTGGATGTATAAAATGTTTAAAATAATATGGATGCATATTATTGATGGGGGGGATGCACACCATTGCTGTATATTTTGGTTATCATTGATTTGTTTCAAGTGAAAATTGTGGATAGTTTACATCAAATTAAAATAGCCCATTAATATTTTGCTAAGTTTTTAAAATTTTTAAAAAACCTGTGCATGTACAAACACACACTCACACTCTCTCACACACTCTATACTGAAGAAGAGTGAGTATTTCTGTTGAGAGCAATGGCTACACTGCACTATAGCAGTAGGACTCAGCTTTTTTGGAATATTAGCCAAAGTTGAATGGATGCACTTCTATGAGAGGAAGTGCTTCTCTGAAACGAGCACTACCCATTGTTTTCATAAAACACACATTCAGAAAGCTTCTGCATGGGCAAAATTCTGCATCCACATGAGATCTGCTCAATTTTGGGCCCTGTGTTTTATTTATTCTTTTTCATGTCCTGGGTAGGCTATGCTATCTTCCAAGTCACTTCTAAATTGTCACATCTGCAAACTTGGAAGCATTAACTGCCATGGTTTTCACCAAGGGATTCAGAGAACTAGCTTGGTGAGATGCTATGTTTTCTGTTAGACACCCTTCTCCAAAGAACTATGCACCCCAGGGTCTCCCAAGAATAGGTTATGACTGTTTACCCAGTTTTATGTATGTAGGTTTAGTGTGCCCTCAACTAAACCTCTATCCGGCTTTGCAGACACCATGATTGCTGGATTTTATATCTGCTGACAGAATTCAGATTTAAGAATAAAACACCAGAGCATTGATTCATGTCAGCTATTGTGCTCACTGAACATTTTGAAAATGCAAAGAAGTTTTTTATGGGCAAATGTGTGCGTAGGCTGGGTATTTACTCACAACAGCTCCACTCTACAAAAAGCAAAATGCAATGCAATAATGGTGTTGGAGGCAGGCATTTTGGACTGCCAATTATTTTATTTATTCTCTTTTTGGAAACTCTGGATTTGACAGATGCACATCTAAGATGTGTGCTTTAAGAGGCAGTTAGAAATGCCATGTACGACTGGTTGGGTGTGAGTTTAGTTCATTGCCAAGACACGTGTGCTCCTGTGATTTATTTTTTTTAAACTCATGTTTCAGTCAGCAGTAAAGTAAATAATGGGGCTGATGGAATAATGGGCTGGATGACATTTAGCAAGGGATCCTGAATGAAGTCTGTTGAGTATATTTCAAAGAAATTATAGCCAATGACTTATGCAAAAGTGGTGTGCTTCAAAGAAGGCCAGTTATGAGCTAATAGCTTTATTGATTTATAAAAAAAGAGGAGTCCTGATTTACGAATCAGTTTAACTCCTCTATCAAAGAACTAATTAAACCAAGTCATGAACTATTTTATTTTGTACACGTTGCCTAACTCAAATGTTTCAGTGTGAGTACAAGGAACAAATCACGCTAACCCAGTCTCCTCATTTGATTAAATGAGTGTTTGGGAAAAGTACCCTGGAAAGTTTAATGAAATCCCCACTGAAATTAATTGGAACAGTAGAAGAACATTGTTCACCAGAACGCAAATCAGGCTGTCTTCAAGAAACACTGCCAAGGCCCTTTCAGGTTCTCTTTATCTTAGCTAGGTTACTCAATAATAAAAGAAAAGTGGCAGTGTGGGTTTTGGAATGCCCTCTCTAAAGACGTGGGTGGGTTAAACCACAGAGCTTAGGACTTGCCGATCAGAAGGTCGGCGGTTCGAATCCCTGCGATGGGGTGAGCTCCCGTTGCTCGGTCCCTGCTCCTGCCAACCTAGCAGTTCGAAAGCATGTCAAAATGCAAGTAGAGAAATAGGTACCACTTCAGCGGAAAGGTAAACGGCGTTTCCGTGCGCTGCTCTGGTTCTCCAGAAGCAGCTTAGGCCACATGACCCGGAAGCTGTACGCCGGCTCCCTCGGCCAATAAAGCGAGATGAGCGCCTCAACCCCAGAGTCGTCTGCGACTGGACCCAATGGTCAGGGGTCCCTTTACCTTTACCTCTAAAGACACTTGCCTGGCACGTACTCTTCTTTACTCAGAAATTTCAACTTGAGATTCTAAGTTGTTTTAAGGGTTGTATCTATTTTTTATTATTGTATTTGTACTGTGATTAAAAGGTCACACCATCCTGAAATCCTACTGTCACCATTAATATAGTAATATATTATCTTTCCTCCTGCAGTAGCCCAGGGCACTGCACAACTTAATGAAAATGTGACGTTTTCCACAAATGGGAATTCACAGCACTGTATCAACAGATGTTTTTTGGGGTGGTAGATCTTAGAAGTTCCCAACAGTGACTCTTGGGAAAGTCATAGAGCAGGAGAAACCTGTACAATGCCATCTTTGGACTGGCAATCACATAACCTTGGTTAAAGTCACAAACTAGTGCAAGATGTCTCTTAAAAATAAAAATAAAAACACCTTTGTTTGCTAGCTGCAATCTTCACCTGTTGCTTGTATGCCGTATGTCATGTCAATGGTATTGCTGAAACCCCCTCAAGATTAGTATGGAAAAGCTTTTCCCAACCTGAGGTTCTCCAGCACATGCCAGCTGGGGCTGATGGGAGTTCTGGTCCAACACAGTTGGAGGGCACCTCGTCCCCTTAATCCAGCTTGCACAGACATAGCTTGGCAAAGTTCTCTTCTATCGCCTCTATTGCAACTCCCTCGGGGGATTCTGTGATCCTGTATTAACATCAAATAATGTGGAGACCTAGCTTACAAGCAAGCTGATCACCAGCCCCAGCCCAGCCAGATGTGGGATATATTGGTTAAGGGCTCGGCACGTGCGGATTTCAAGAAGGGTAATCTTCTATCTGTGTGGGCTGCAGAAGTATTGACCACAAATATTTTTCCTAGTACCAGATATGTTTTTCCTGGCACCAAATGTGTAATAGAGTGTGACAGAACATAGAACAGAATTCATGGAGGTAAATGGTTATATAGCATGAAATTAGCTCTTCCTGTGGTTGTCTCTCCACGAGCAAATAAATGCTATATCAGTATTACATTGTGTAAATATTATATGGAAGCCAAGAGTTGAAAGGGGTCAGAAGGTAGGGGAAGATCAGCTGGGGAAGAGGGTTAGTGTTAGGGGGAAAGCAGCAGACAGAGAAAGGTTAATCATCCCCTTGACCCCATCACTTTCCCCCACTTCAAATTGCCTTCTGTTTATAATGCTTTGCAGAGAATGAGCAAGCCACTAAGGCACTTGCACATTGGTCCTAAGTATACCAGATGATACCAGAAAGAGACGATTCAAGTGGTCGGCTGCTTGAGCCCAGCACATACTTTTAGTAGCAGAATGAGCTATGCATAAATGCTTAAGTAAATAATCCCCAAATTTTCAATTAAGTGCAGGTGTGAAGTTTGTTCCTTCCTTGGACCTAAGAAGTGTTATGCAGCTGTACAAGGAGTAAATATTCTGCAGTTGCAGAAATCCAGAATCTAACAGTTTTAAGATTGTTTCTCATTTCCTCTTAAGTTCACGCAACATAGTGGGATAAGCCCTGTCAAACTGAGTTACTAAAGCTTGTGTAAGATGATCCAGAAGTTAGAAATAATTCTAATTAAATGCACTAAATAAATTTATCCCAGATGTTTCTAAGACAGCCGTTGTAGAGATGCTACATAACTTCATGGCAGGAGAAAGTGCATATAAAGTTTCAGACCTCCTTTATTCCAAAGTTCAAGACGTGTATCTGGGCAGTTATTATTATATAAATAATAAAGTAAACAAATAGCCTAGATATGCTTCTGTCACCAATGGTATGGTGTGATTTACAGCTGATTAGAAGTACAATCAACTGTTCCATGAGGATGAAACTTAAAATGATATAGATCTTTAGGAAGTAAAAAATATTCTCCCTTTGTATATCACTTCAAAGTAGGTATCTAAGCAGTTTATGGAAAACAATAACATATAGCAATTCAATTACAAAGTAAGAGCACAAATACATAAGTGAGTAAACACTGTGTGTGAACAAAATACAGCCAAATCTTTGTCGAGGAAGACCTGGGCAAAAAGGAAAGCTTCCAGTAAACGCTGTAAGCTGTACAAATGATGCACAAAGTTCCTAATTGTGGGGAAACTAAAGACATCACTGGTGAGTAAAATATGTACTTATAAAATAAAAA